GGGCCCTCAGATATGCTCAGGGGTTCCGAGAGGGTTACGTCGATCGCATCCCGGATGAGGGTCAGACTGGCTCTACCCCTGATGATGTTGATAAGGATCTGGATATTGACCCTCCTGGTGTTTATATCGATCCGGACTCAACCGCTGCCGAGGGGATATTTGATGAATGTCAGGAGATTGCGTCTTCTCGGATCACTCCTACTCCTCCTGCCGCTCTGACTTTGGACATTCTCCCTGTGTCCGCTTTGACTCCATCTGCCGTTACTGCTGAAGAAAACCCTCAGCAGAATGATTCTTCCAACGCTGCTGAGGGTAGGATTCAACAAAGCGATTCTGTCATTCATCTTGACTCTCCACCTCGTGAGGATAGCGACACCACTAACAATGAGGAGGTGGCCCAACATCATCAAGAGGCCGACGAGGCAAACGCCCCTTAGTTAGGACCTCTTTTTTTTTTTTTTTTTTTTTTTTTTTTTTTTTTTTTTTTTTTTTTGTTTAAATGTACTGATTTTGGCATATGTGCCATCTTTACACCTCATTTTTTGTAACCTTCTAAAGCTTATTTAATGAGATGGCCGACTCCTGATCAAATTTTTTATGTCAACTCTTTTTTTTTTTTTTTTTTTTTTTGCAAGTGTTTAGTGTTCGGCTCATTATGCCGACTGCAACTTACTTTGCTCAGGCACCTGGGGTTTGGCTAGAATGCCACTTGCCACTTGGCCCTCTAATTTTCTTTTAGCAAGTGTTTGGCGTTCGGCTCGTAGTGCCAGCTGCCACTTACTTTGCTTAGGTGCCTGGCGCTCGGCTAGAATGCCCCTTGCCACTTGGCCTTTTATTTTTCTTAGCAAGTGTTTGGCATTCGGCTCATAGTGCTAGCTGCCACTTACTTTGCTTAAGTGCCTGGCGCTCGGCTGGAATGTCTCTTGCCACTTGGCCTTTTATTTTTCTTAGCAAGTGTTTGGCGTTCGGCTCATAGTGCCAGCTGCCACTTACTTTGCTTAGGATTTTAAAGAGGAGTGCAATCTTTAGAAATCTCAAAAACTCATACATTCAACTATTTTCAATTTAAAATAAACAGAATTCAGTACTGAATCTCAACTTTTTATTGATAATACCTCTTTACAGAAGTAGCATTCCAAGGCTTGTTAACCAGCCTTCCGGCCATGGTTTCTAAGGTATAAGCGCCTTTTCCTATGGCCTCTGCAATTCTGTATGGGCCTTCCCATGGTGGCATCATCTTTTTGACTATCCCCACCTTCTTTTTCAGAACCAGGTCACCTGGCCTAAAGTCCCTGTGCTTTACTCTCCTGTTATGGCTGTTCGCAAGTGTCTGTTGGTAAGAGGCGAGCCTCACCGCTGCTGCGTCTCTTTTTTCTTCCAGCAAATCGAGGTTAAACCTTAGCATATTGTTATTATGCTCACGGCTCCAGGCCAAGCTTCGAACAGTCGGAACTAAGTGCTCGACCGGTATAACTGCCTCGGTTCTATATGCCATGGTGAATGGACTTTCTCTGGTCGGTCTTCTTGGGGTCGTTCTGTAGGCCCATAGGACGTTCGGCAGTTCATCTAACCACCTTCCTTTCCTTTCTTCTAGTTTCTTCTTGATACAAGTAAAGATTGTTCTGTTTGTAATTTTCGCTTGTCCATTGGCCTGCGGGTGACTTACTGCTGCCAGCTTTTGATTAATTTCATACTCCTCCAACAGCTCTCTTACCTGCTTATTGTCAAGGTTAGTACCATTATCCATGACGATTGACCTCGAAACACCAAACCGGCAAATAATATTACTCCAAATGAATCGTCTCACATGAGTTTGAGTAAAGCTCGGGTACGGCTCTGCTTCCACCCACTTAGTAAAGTAGTCTGTAGCCAGCAACACATACTTGTTCTGAGCTCTGGCAGTTGGTAGAGGACCAACTTGTAATACCCCTAATTTTAAAAGGATAGTCTCGGCATTTATTTATTATTTTTATTGTATTTTTGCATGATTATTTGGTTTAATTCTTTTATTTAATTGTTTACCTGTGTGACGTGTATTTAATTAGTATCTATTTCTTTGTTTCAATTGCATTCTATTTATTTAATTGATTATTCGTGTATTTAATTGATATCTATTTATTTGTTTAAATTGCATTCTATTTATTTAATTGATTATTAAAGGTTTTAATTTAGGAAGTATTTTAATTAAAGATTTTTTCAGAATTGAGGGTTTAGTTTCTTTAGCCGACACAGGATTTAATTAAGTTCTATGGGCCGGTTAGGATTTAGTTAGGGCTCTAATTAATGTAGGGTTTTGGTATAACTCTATAAATATATGGGTATACGTCTGCCGAGGGTTTTTAAAACCCTATTCACCATATTCCCGTATACAGTAAAGAGAGAAGTTGAGAGAACAGAGCGTCGTAACGGTCTGTCAAGGAGACTAACAGAGAGGACCAAAGGAGGTGTTTGGTGGATTAGATCAGAACCAGAGGAGGCTAGAAGGTAGTCAGTGGTTGCCGGAAAGCTTAGAACAACGGCGTCAAGGTTCTGTTTATAAAACTGTACAGGCAAGTTCTTCTCTTTCTCCTTCCCTTTGGCTTGTGTTCTGTGCACCTAGACAGTCTCTAGGAGATTAATTGGCCTTAAATTGAACCATGCATGTTTGATATATGATTTGCTTGATCGTTTTATCTGTGCAAAATTTATTTACAAAATAATTATAGCGCGTATGTTTTCTTGACTCTGTTTTGGCATAACGTCCCACTGTTCTAATTTTTATTTTGAATCTTACTGAAATCAATCAAGGTCTGACTGGATACTAGATGTAAATTAAGACTTCAAATTTAAATTGGAGAAAGAACAGAGGGGTTGGGATAAAACTGATCTTGCAATTTAGTTTCAGTGCCGTTCTTCAGCAACGCTAGTTTAAATGGCCTGAGTAAACTCTGTAATTGCTTTCAAAACTATTGTAAACAATCTTGGGGAATGCTTCTAGACTAAATTATGAGTCCTAAGATTAGTTCAGAGACTAACAGAGGGTTAGGAATAAGCCGGAGAAGGAGCACAAGAGCTGAAACACACACCGGGGACGAAGGCTCACACAGGAGGTGAGAGCCGGCTTCATGGAAGTGGGAGCCGGCTCCCACAACAAAGTGGAGCCGGCTCTAGGGAGTCCTAGAGCCGGCTCTAGGCTGGAAAAGAGCCTGCTCCAAATTCTGGAGCAGGCTCCCTTGGTATTTTTGATTTATTTTACGTTTTTTTTTAATTTTCTACATACTATGTTCACTGTTGGAGCATGGAGACTGTTTGAATGAATTTGGAACTTTACAGAGGGATCAAGGAATGAATTTTGAGTGTTAGTAAGACCCTAAATTGAGTAAAGTTTAATTCTAAGTTGTCGGGACAAACAGTGTAAAAATTAAGGCACTTAACAAATGGAATTGAATTAATTGTTGAATTAAAATTCAGCAATTTGATGGAACATAATGTGTTTATAAAACTTATTTTAGAATGCATTCAAGTGCATGATAGGGTCATTTAATTATTAATTTTGATCTATGCATGCTTAGGAGGCTAGTTGCGGAATTATTAAATTGTTTACTGCAACTATATGGCTAATGCTTGGATTTAAACTGCTGAAATATTTAAACAATCTTCTGAATTGTTTTAGCAATTTATTGGTTAATAATAGGATTATTTAACCTATTCACATGCATGATGGAGTCCCTGACATATTAAATTTGGTCTATGCATGTTCTGAATGTTAGTTGTTGATTTGTTAAAATCGTCTCCTGCAACTATATGGTTAAATGCTTGGATTTAAATTGCTGAAGCTTTAAATAGTTTTCTGCAATTGTTTGGATGGTAGTTTTTAGTCTGTAAATTATTGAACTGTTATATATGTTGTAATTTACATGGATATGGAGGATGGTATGTACCGGTATGGGACGGTGACATACTAGGGACGGTTTAGCTCAAAACGCATAAACCTAACCTAATGGATTAATGGAATGGATTAAAAGATATCGAATCCTAATTGTGGCTAAGTCAGATCAGCTGTAACCAAGTTGGATGACTTCCTGGATTAACGGATGGTAGTTAAGTCATATCAACTGAATAAGTGGAGTGACTAACTAGTTGGTTTATTGTAGGTCAGTTTAATAAATAGTTGAACTGCTTACCCTGGATTTGGACGGACTTTATATATATGTTTATGGTACCACGAGTTGAGCTTAAGTCTCAGACTCGTTGGTTAGGGTGCGTATATGCAGTGGATGCGTAGTTGGTTATAATAGGTTGAGGTGTACCCTGTTAGGTCTAGGTACTCATGCCCACCTTTGGGTGCGTATTCGCATGTTGCCTTCTATTCAGGTTGAGACCCCTATTATAGACTAGTGAATGTCCCTTAGTGTGGATATATTTATATGTATGGACTAGATAGATATTGTGAGGTGTCTACGGTGTATCTGCGTATCGGGTCACTGTATGGATTGTAGTTAGATTAGAACTTGCTCGTGGGTCTGACCCACTCCTTTATTATTCTTTTCAGGTACAGGACGGTTCCAGCTTTAGAGCTTGATCGTGCTTGTCGAGGACAGTCTCACCTTCATCTGATTACGTAGGACTTCTCTCGATATTTCTAGCATTATCTATTTTCAGTTTTCAGTTTCAGTTGAACTTTTGGTTAGGGGTCCATCAGTGGATTCCCAAGTTGTAACATTGAAGTTTTGGAGGATTGGATTTTCAATTTTCAGTTATACACGGAGGATTTTATAATTAATGTTACTTTCAGTTTCATTCCATCACCTTTGTTTCATTTTGTCATCTGTGTTCACTTTAAAATACTTTAATTGTTTGATATTCCCTCGGGTTTGGGCCTGGGCCTGATCAACCCGTGTCTCGGATCCGAGGGGTATCACACAACTACATCCATCCCCCATTGCGCGAAAGGCCATGGTGTGGCCATTACATGCAAGTCTTTAGGCGGTTGGTGAATCAGTGGTCCAAACCTTTGGCACTTATCGCACCTTCTGGACAATTCTTCCGAATCTCGCGACATGTTTGGCCAGAAGTACCCTTGAGCCATTGCTTTGTGTGCTAATGATCTCCCCCCTGAGTGGTTTCCACACACATCTTCATGAATAGCTCGTAATATTTGCCGAGCTTCTGTGGGGGTAACGCACTTTAAGTACGGTCCGGAAAAGGATCTTCTGTATAACTGGTTATGCACTATGGCGTACTTTGCAGCATTCGCTTTGATTTTCCTAGCCTCATTTCTTTGTTCAGGCAGAGTACCATCTCGGATGTAAGTTATGATCGGATCATTCTAACTTGGCTCATATGGAATAACATTCACTTGCCAAGGATCTGAGCCTGAAGGCTCTTCGAAAATGGATGGCTGGTTTAATATTCCCACTGGAACCACCTTTGCCAATGTTTCTCCAGAACCCGAGGCGCTACATGCTAGCCTGTCGGCATCTCCGTTACACTCCCTCGGAATTTGAATGAATTCAATTTTTTCAAAGTTCTGTGCCTCCCGCATAACAGCAGAACGATATGCTTCCATCGTTTCGTCCTTGGTTTTATACTCACCCCTCACCTGCCGAACGACTAACTGTGAGTCACTGAAAACATTCAAATTCCTGACCTTAAGTTCTTTGGCAAGTTTTATTCCTGCTAGCAACGTTTCATATTCTGCCTCATTGTTCGTGGCTGCGAATTCAAGCCGGAGCGCTTGGCTTAAGGCTGTACCTTCTGGCGTCTGCAGTTTGATCCCAATGCCTGCACCCATCTGATTTGAGGATCCATCAACGAAGAGTTTCCATAAGCACTTACAAAGATCCTCCTCCACGTCTTCTGAATCACATTCTAGTAAAAAATCTGCCACCGCCTGCCCTTTGACTGCTGTTCTAGGGTCGTATGTGATATCAAATGAGCTTAACTCTATGGCCCACTTTGTCATTCTTCCGGAGAGATCTGGTTTGTGCAGGATTATTCTGATAGGGAAAGTGGTTAGAACGAGAATAGGATGGGATTCAAAATAATGCCTGAGCTTTCTTTTCGCATGCACTAGCAAGAGTATCACCCGCTCTGCCTTTGAATAACGTCCTTCGGCCTCAGTCATTGTTTTACTAACATAGAACACTGGATATTGCTTCCCTTCTACATAGCGGATCAGAACGCCACTTGTTGCGATGCTGGATACTCCGAGATACAGAAACAGCTTCTCGCCTGACTTTGGAGCTGACAGTACCGGAAGGTTCTGCATATATTTTTTCAGAGCAGTTAACACTAGGCGTTGTTCATCTCCCCAAACCTGCCTACCGTGGCTTCGGATTGTGTCAAAAAATGGCTTGCATCGATCTGACAATTCGGAAATGAAACGGCTCAGTGCAGTAATCCATCCCGTAAGTGTTTGCACCTCTTTGATTGTCTTCGGCTCGGCATTCTTAGTCAGAGCATTTGCTTGGGCCGGGCTTGCCTCGATGCCTTTGAGATTAACCATGTGCCCTAGGAATTGGCCTGAACTTACACCGAACGAGCACTTGGTTGGATTGAGCTTCATTCCATACCGCCGCAAAATATCAAACACGCCTCGAAGATGCTGCACATGATCGGCTTTCTTCTTACTTTTGACCACCATATCATCAATGTAATCCTCCACTGTCTTCCCTATTTGTTCCTTAAAAATCTTGCTAATAAGTCTTTGGTAAGTTGCCCCGGCGTTCTTTAGTCCGAACGGCATAACTTTGTAGTAATACGTCCCGCGTTCAGTAACGAAAGAAGTTTTTTCTTCATCAGCGGGGTCCATAGGGATCTGATTATAACCCGAATAAGCATCCAAAAAGGTCAAGCGTTCATATCCAGTTGTTGCATCTACCATCTGATCAATCTTTGGCAGCGGGAAGCTATCTTTCGGACAAGCTTTGTTTAAATTGGTAAAATCAATGCATACGCGCCATTTCCCATTTTTCTTTTGTACAATGACCACATTCGATAACCAGTCGGGGTAGTGCACTTCTCTTACGAACCCCACATCAAGCAGCCTATCAACTTCCTCGGCAATAATTCGGTTGCGCTCGGGGGCAAACCGTCGCTGCTTCTGTTTTACAGGTTTAACATTGGGATTAACGTTCAAGGAATGACAAGATACCGAATTATCGATCCCGGGCATGTCCAGGTGACTCCATGCGAACACATCTGCGTTTTGAGACAAAAAATCAACTAATTCCTACTTTTCCTCCTCAATGAGTTGTTCCCCTACTCTGGTTGTCCGCTCCGGTCAGAACTGATCGATCTGCACATCAAGCAAGGGTTCTTCAGTCAAGCCCTCTGGTTCCTCCTCTCCGTTCTGCCTAGAGGGAGGCTCCTGTAATTGCTATCTCGGACTTACTGAACGAATAGGAGCTTTCCCCTTTCCGGCATGTTTCAGCGTTACAGAGTAACATTCTTTAGCTGCAACTTGGTCTCCATGAATGTCAATCACTTTGGTTCCGTCTGGTGCCAGGCATCTCATTACCTGATGCAGAGTGGAAGGAACACCTCGAACCCTGTGGATCCACCCTCTGCCCATCAGAAGATTGTAAGAGGGATGAATTTCAACAACTACAAAGGTTTCCATCAAAACCCTCTCGGCAGCATGTACCGCTACCTCCACTGTGCCGACGGGCTTCACTCACTTTCCATCAAACCCTACTAGCGGATTCCCGGTGGATTTCAGCTGATCCTGTTTGATCTCGAGCCGATCGAATGTATCTCTTGGCATGATGTTCGCACTACTTCCAGGGTCAATTAGAACTCTGCGCACCAAGCATTTGGCCACTGTTAAACTTACGACCAGCGGGTCCTCATGGGGGATCTGAACACGCAACAAGTCTGTCACGTCAAACTTTATCTGCGTTGATGCGCTCTGCTAGTGCACAGTGTTTACACTGCCTATCCTTCTCTTCATCCGTGCCTGACGAAGGCGTGTTCGAAGCAATTCATCTGATTCCTCAGCAGGTTCTGGCCGACCGTGAATTGCATTAATTACTCGAACTGGTTGCGTGTTGTGAGAATTCGATTTTTGATTCTTCTTTACATGCTCCATTGGCCGGTTCTGCTCCACCGCTGGTCCTTGAATATAACTTGCGAACTCCCCTCTGGCTATCAGCATCTCTACCTGTCTCCTTAGGTTCCTGCATTCGTTAGTCTGGTGGCCAAAATCAGAATGAAATGCACAGTGTTTAGACTGATCCCTCTGTTCGAGAGGTTGCCTAATTGGTAAAGGAGGTCAGAACTTATCTTTATTTTCTTGGTACAGTCTTGCTAGGGTAACTTTCAATGGAGTAATCAGCTCTTCCTCTCTGGGCCTCTTCTCAGATTTCCACGAGGAGCGTTGCGGTTGGACCTGTTTTTGCCTGATCTTTGCTTTGGTCTTTTCTTCCGTGGATATAACGGATGTCTTCTGAGCGTTTGCCGCCTCTTCTTCTTCTAAGCGCACAAATCCATCGGCTCTTTCGTTGAGTTCATCCATAGTCCTCGGCGTGTTGACCACCAAACTTATGTGGAACGGGGTGCCACGATTCATAGCTTGAATGAATGCTTGAACTGCCGTTGAAGGGTGGCATTCGATAACCATGCTCTTGGTAAGGTTAAACCTGGTTAGGAAAGCCTGGAGACGCTCTTCAGCGTGTTGCTTCATTGTGAATAAGCTCGAAATATCTTTCGCTGGACGCTTGTTTCCATAGTATTGGCTTATGAACCGATCGCACAGGCTTCAGAAACTATCCACCAAACCCCTCGGCAGGTTCTTGAACCAATTTAGAGCTGGTCCGGCTAGACTCATAGGAAAGCACTTGCACATCAAAGAGTCATTCTCAGTGTTTAGAGCCATTTTCAGCTGGATATGATACACATGATCGATCGAATCAGTCGTTCCGTCGAATAGAATGAAAACGGGCATGAAAAATTTCCTCGGACTCGGAGCATTCAGAATCTCATCAGTGAACGGTGAATCCACCGTTCGAGCTGCTGAACGGAGTGCTTCATTCTCCCTCTGGAATCCCGCGGCTGCTCTCTGGTCTACTGATCTCCTCTCTGAGCTGTGATAGTCGAACGTCGTCATGGAAGGCCGGTAGGTCGGATCGAATGATCTATCCTCAACAAAGTCCTTGTGCCATGGAGGCATAGTTTTCTGACGAATCAACTCTGTTGCTTCACCTCGGCTGAGCTTTTCTTGATGTGGATCAAAAGTCATCGCTTCGTTTCGCTTGATCTACTCATGCCGTGGATCCATGTGAATCGATCCTTCACGATCATCCATACGACGAAGATTTGGCGGCAGACCGTCTCGCCGGATTTCCTCGCGGTGAGGATCAACTAGATTGTTTTCAACCTCTTCACTGTGATGTGCTGCATCGGTATGTGCACCTTCTTCGCCTACCGGAAGTGGTCGTGGAATTATTGGAGCTTCTTGACGCTGTATTTCATTCCTTAGATCTGCATTTTCTCTCCGGAGAGCTTCGATCATGTTCATCAACTCATCGAGTTTCACTTGCTGGATGTTCTCAACCGTATTAGAGTTGTCACCCCCTATCATGATTCCGGATCGAAGCAAAGGCATGAATTACGAACTTCGAAACAGATCTAAGCATTACTGATGCAAACTCCGCTAGATCTGGGCTTAACTTTACCGAATCGTGATCGCTGTTTGCTAGATCTGAACTTTTCTAGCTTCAAACTCGTCGGATCTGACTGCAACTGAGCAAATCGCAATTGCGTCCTTCCAAAGCAAAATGCCTCAGAATCCACAATAATCAAGAATTCTCTCGGAGCAAACTACAATCTCACTGATCTGGATTTAACTTCCAGAAGTCACACTGTATATTCACAAACTTGATTGAACTAATATGGTACTGATCGGGCTCGAATTGATCTTCGTCCTCGGTTCCCACAGACGGCGCCAATTGAAGATATAATGTTCCGTTTCATCTCTCTCACTCTTACTTTCTCTCTCTCTTCTCCCTAGCTTCCTCCTCTACTTTCCACCCGTCATGGTCAATTTATAGGCCATGACCCTCTTTTGCAGTTAACCAATTACATTGGGCTTATAGCCCAAAGTTCTCTTCCTTCTGGGCTGGGTCTTGTAATGGGCTTGACTTTCCTCGGTGGACCCGCCACGTTCGGCCCACTCCAGGGTGCTTTGGCATGGATCCTTCTTCAATCATTCGACCCGATCTCGTTTCCGCGATCCATATCCGGCCCATGCCACTTGCCGCATCCTCAGGCTTCAATCAATTTTGGGAGAGTTGGGTCTTGTACAGAAAGGTTCTTCAAGGCTGTTTTGTGACAATAAATAAGCCATTATGCTTGCTTCTGATTCTGTTTTACATGAAAGGTCGAAACATATTGAGGTAGTGTGATATCCCCGGATTCCCGAATGCTGTTGGCCAGGCCCACGCCCAAATACCCGAGGATATCAAAACAAATTGATAATAAACGAACACAGAGTACAAAAGAATAAAGAAGAATAAATAAAATGCTGACAGGAAACTAAAATGATAATCTAATAATAAACCTCATAATATATTTCCATTAATTAATAAACTCTTCTGATACAACTGATCCTCCAAAATACAACTCGAGAATCCATAATGTGTGGACCCCTAGAAAATCCAAACTAAACAAATGGCAACAATAACTGTCTAAATCAGGAAACTTAATCATAAAGGAACTCCTATGTAGCATCGGAAGAATGAAGTAAACTAATCCCCGCTCAGCACGAACAACCTCTACTCCTGACGAACACCTGAAAAATAATGGTGGGTCAGGCCCACAAACAAGTTCTACTCTACTACAGTCCAAGCAGAGATCCGATATACGTATACATCCTAGTCAATCCAACAGTAACTAGTAGTCCGTGTATATATATATACACACACTAAAGGAACCTTACTAGACTATAGGGTTGTCTCAACCTGAATAGTAGGCAACATGCAAAACGCACATATAGTGAACATGAGTACCTAGACCTACCAGGGTACACAACTACACTATATCTAGCTACACATCCCTGGCGATATACGCACCATAACCACTGATCCTGAGACTCAAGCTCATATCATGGCACCATACTTATATATATATAATCTAGTAACCATCCTATCCAGTATAAATTAATCCTCCATAAGTCATTCAACTTGTTCAGCTGACCTGACTTGAATATAAGTAGGACTTAACATTTTAGTTAATCCATTCCCTTATATAATAAATTAATCCTCTATGAGTCATTCAACTTGTTCAGCTGACCTGACTTGAATATAAGTAGGACTTAACATTTTAGTTAATCCATTCCCTTATATAATAAATTAATCCTCCATAAGTCATTCAACTTGTTCAGCTGACCTGACTTGAATATAAGTAGGACTTAACATTTTAGTTAATCCATTCCCTTATATAAAATAGGTAGGACTTAACTGATAAGTTAATCCGTCCCTAGAATGCCACTGTCCCATACCGGTGCATTAAACCACACAATCTAATAATTGATGTAATAATTAAATAAATACATCAAACATTCCAGAAATAACTATGATAATATGATATCAAGTTATCATATAATATGAATGACTTATTATTTATTTAAGTTTCCTATATCATATGTCCTACACAAACTGAATCTTATATATGATGATATTTTATTATATCGTCAAATAAGCATTCTCCATATCCAATTCATCCTACACATTTAATCTCAATTGCTAAAGCATTTTAAAAGATTAAATCCATTCGTTTGTTTAAACATTCAAATAGCAAGTATCGTTATGATTGAGTGTATTTAAATTTATTTAAACCCAAACCTAGTCCCTATTTAATGTTCAGGAATCCTAGGCATGTTTCTACGTTCATCATTCCACAGATATGAAAAATACATAATTTAAACATGTAAAAATTCACACCAGAAATCAAATCAAAATCATGCATTTTTTAATTCATAACACAAGAACAGATATGAATCAATTTCATAAAAACTTATGCTTTAATCCAATTAAACATGCATAATTATTTAATTTTATGTGTTTAATAAATCCTGGAATTTCCTAGGCATGTACAGAAACACGAATCAAAGGGAAAGAGATAGAAGAAGAACTTGCCTTAAACTTTCGGATCGAAAGTTAAACTTCTTCTTCCTTGATCTTCTCTCTAAAGGGTTTTTCTCCTCATTCCTTCCTTTTCCTCCTTCCCTCTCTAACACTATCTCTCTAGTATATATCACGTGAATATTTCTAACCCCCTTTTACAACCTATAGCTATATATTTATAGGTTAAATAAAATAACCCTAACCCTTTTCCCAATCCAAGTCAACTTAAAAAAAAATGAAAATAAAAATATTAAAAAGGTAAGCAAAATATGTTACGTATATAATTTATGTATATGTTTATTAAATAAATAAATTATACACATTCCATTATTTATTAATTGATTATCCAATAATATTTAAGTTACCATAATATTATAAAGTAACTTAAAACATAACACGTATCAAATCTATGTATATTTTTATTATTTAAATAAACATATACATCAGATTAAATATTACTACCCAAATTACCATAAAAGTAATTAATAAATTACTTTCTCTTTTATATATATATTAAAAAGGTAAGTAAAATATGTTACGTATATAATTTATGTATATGTTTATTAAATAAATAAATTATACACATTCCATTATTTATTAATGGATTATCCAATAATACTTAAGTTACCATAATATTATAAAGTAACTTAAAACATAACACGTATCAAATCTATGTATATTTTTATTATTTAAATATAAAACATATACATCAGATTAAATATTACTACCCAAGTTACCATAAAAATAATTAATAAATTACTTTCATTTTTATATATGTATATAATATATATCTATATATATACATATATTATCCATGGGTAATAATCCATACACATCCAACCTCCTATCCAAGTAGTCCATGGGACCCAATTGGTTGGCACATTACTACTAACCATAACCATAAAAGAAAAATAAAATAAAATAATAAAAGAAAAGAAAATATTTAATTTACAATTAATCAAAACATCATTTAAGCACATAATCTAATTAAACAATTAACACATAGACCAATACAAATAATACATAGACACATAATCAAATAATCAAGTAATACTTAATTCAATTAAACACATAAGCAATTAGTCAAATAATTAATTAAATAATTAAAAAATATAATTAAAACAAATAAATAAATACCGAGACTATCCTTTTAAAATTAGGGGTATTACAGGTAGACATTCACTTTATTCGAGAGAAGGTTCGATCAGGTATCATTAATCCTATTTTTGTTCCTTCTTCAGAACAGACTGCAGATGTGTTCACAAAGTCTGTTGGGCTTTCTCTTCTCCAGTCTTCCATAGTCAAGCTGGGCTTGGTCAACATATTTGCTCCAGCTTGAGGGGAAGTGTTGGAAATCTTATTTATAAGTTGACTCAACGATTATGGCAGATTTATTGGGTCTTCAATATAGGCTAATTTTTAGGGATTTTATTTTTATTCTGATTTGATTTTATTCTCTTTATTTTGATTTGATTTTATTCTCTTTTCCATATTTGCAATTTTTCGCTTGTATATAATGATAGTCAGACTCTCAAATTGAGTACGCCAATTTTACCAAGTTGCTTTTGAATATAAGTACATTGCAAGAAAGGGCTGTGTCATGAATTCCCATTAGGCACAACTTTTTGTTTCCTTCCTAGACACCATGTTGGTGTATGTTGATTGATTAAGGAATGTCAAAATTTAAAAATTTTATTGTTGTCCTGCCTACGTAGGGTGCTCGGAGAGGAAGACTGGACACATTATTTTGCAATGACTGGCTGCTCTCAAGACTTGAACTGGCATTTCACGCTTGTCAATCTGAGCTTTTACCATTGCACCATAGTTAAAAAATAAAAATTAAAAAAAAAATTAAAAAAAAAAAATTAAAATACAGAAACAGCATTCACAGTTAAGTGACCATAAAACTGCTTGCAATTTAATCCACATTAATGATAATGATAAGTAGAGTTTTGACCACAACATTGTCTAATAAATTAAAGTTGCAATAGATTCCATATGGACACTTGGCTCAGTCTATGCCTATGCTCCTCATTTTATATTAACCTCCTCCATTTTTTCACTTATTTTCAGTTACCTTTAAAATTTAGATGGAAATGCCAATTAATCTAACAGGAGTGATGGAAGAATTGGCAAAGTTAACATTTCTACAACAATTGTTCTACTCTTTTCCCTTTTAACTAAGAAAAAGTGGCATGATGATTTTAGTAAAGTCATATTGCACATCCATAAGGAGGGTTGGTTTCATAGCATAATCTAGAATAGAAAATCAAAATATGAAGCCAAAACTGCCTTGAGGATGATTCTGAAGTAATGACAAAACTCATAGGCCAACAGTTGGCCACAAAACAACGTAAGATAATAACATCAACAATAGATTATGTCTTAAGATGCCACAAAATTAATTGAAAATATTACCTTATTTATGTGGATTAATAAGTTAAAATGTGCATCGTCAAATTTTGAAGGTTTATTAGCACACAAAAGCATAAAATGCTTGATTCGATTGTAATTTTGGGAATTGATGTAAATGAAGGATTTCATGTGGTTATCCATGTATCTAAATTACCCTATGGATATCTAGAGACTTCTTGCTGATGTTCCTTGTGGGTTTGAATGATGGAATTGATAATGGGGAATCAAAAATTGTTTTGTTGCACAGGAAATTCAGTTTTCTTTCAATTTTGCTGAAACTCAAAAATTTCTCTAAGGAGCTTTATTAATCCAAATGCTTTTAAACTTTTACCACAGCTTCCTTTATACATCTAGTATTTCTCCATAAAATTTTGTAATTTTTTGATTAGCAGATATTTTTCTATAAATTTGAGAGTACTAGCTGTTCGAATTTTACATTTGCTGGAAAACAGATTTTACTTGAATTATTTGACCAACTTTTCGAGACCGGATCTTGATAAAAATTTCCAGTTTTATACGTCCCTAAGTCTACTTTCTAAAAATGGATTTATTGGAATTTTCTTAGATCCGGATATTTTTCTAATGAATGAAGTTTTCCGAAACACTTTATTTTCAGCTCATTCTTAGTTAGCCATTTTCCTTCCAAAAACTGATTTTATTGGCAAAGCTTAAGTTGTTGGGAATTACAGTGTCACATTATCCTTTGAGTCTACTTTTCAAATCATTTTCGTTTGCTCCATTTCGATTTAAAATGAATTTTCTACGAATTTTTAAACTGGTGGCAGCGCAGATTTTGTTTTGAGGTTGTTTGTGACATGTTTAAGTTGTTAATTATCCACTGTAGCGCATTGGAAGTGTATTGAGGTTGTTTAAGTATAATTGGGACAATGAATGGACTATGAATTTTTTATTGGATGATTTTTGGAGAATTTATTCGGACGGTTTCTGAATCATGTTTTATTTGTGCCCCTAATTTCGGGTCGTTACAGATTAAGTACATGGAGAAGAAGATGAGGGATCTCTTGTGGGGTTCTAATTCTGAGAATAGAAAATTACATGCTTTAGGTTGGAATAGAGTGACAAGTCCAAAGTCCGAAGGTTGTTTTAGGGTGAGGAAGATTGTAGACATCAATGGAGCAGCTACCTGTGTTTTAGTTTGGAAATTTTTGAACTCCAAGGATTGCTTAAGGGTGGCTTGGTTCAAATGGAAGTACACCAGACTGGTATCATACTGGAACTATCATAATAAAACAACAGATTCTCTGTTGTGGAAGAAGATGTTGGAGGTGAGGGAGTTCATGCTTGCTAATGTTGAATTTCAAATTGGTAATGGAGAATCTACCTTTCTCTTTACAAATCCTTGGATACAAGGTGCACGTATGCCGAAGAAACTGGGAGATAGAGTGTACAGGGACTTTGGGCTTCCAAAACAAGCTCTCATTTCTAGAATCATATATGATGGGCAGTGGCAACTCCCTGTAAGCAATGCCAATTCAGTGCTGCAATTCAGAAATTTTGTTTTGTATTTGCTTTTGAAGCAGGGCTGTGATCAATTGAAATGGAGACATGGTTCAATCTCGCTTAGGAATGTATGGGATACATGGAGGACCAAGTTACCAACAATGGGTTGGTATGAAGTATGTTGGATTGGATCGAGACCGAGAGCTTCATTGAGTTGTGTCCTTGCAATCCAGAACTGGTTACTGTGCTTTGTTAAATTAAAGAGGAGGGGAATCTCAACTGTGGCAATCTGTCATAATTGTTTTCAAACAGAAGATGATTTAAATCACCTTTTTGTCAGCTGTTCTTTTGGTCAAGAGGTATGGCAGTGTTTGTCTACACTCCTTGGTTGGCAGATGCCTCAATTTATTACACTAGAGTAACTCATTTTTTGGTTTGTTTAGCAACGAATAAAACACAAGGCACAAAAAAGTATCTGTGCTACAACAATATGGTTTTTATGGGACGAGAGGAATAAAATGTTGCATCATGGACTTCATAAAAACTGCTACCAACATTGCCCAGTCTATTTGTGGAGAGGTTTTGCTTCAATCAAATATGGAATTAGAGGAATTTGGGGCAACTTCATTACATGTTTAAATTGGATGTTGTTTTTTTTTTTTTTTTCTTTCATCTTTTGTTTGCTGTAACTATGCTTCTACAGTTATAGTTCCTTGTATTTACAATTTTTTGTTTTATTTTCCAAAGGGATGCCCTTGTTGTTACTTGTATATTCTTGGTAAATCTATAAAAAATTTCCACATTTACCCAGGAAAAAAGAAAAGAAGCTAGCCTAAGCCCCATGTTACCAGCCAAAAGTGAAACATATGTACAAGAAACACAAGTCCTCTAGGCTTTGGAGCTTGAACTCCAGGAGGGATTTGACCTAGAGGAGGTTATTAGATCATATTGGGGTCTAGATAACCAAGATTCACATTGTGGTATTCCATTGGAGTGATATGATGATCAAAATTGGAATAAGAAGAATGCTAAGAAACTTTTTACCTCACGTACACAACAACCAACAATAACTTCACAGCAATCAACAACAAATAACAATCAACCACAACCTCCACATACGATGTTCCCATACTCCCATGTTATATCAATACAATAAGGTAATGGCCACGACAAGGACCCATGCTTTCAACCTTAAAGTAATAGCCATGATAAGAGCCTATGCTTACTAAAAGTTGGAAATCTAATTTTTACGCATATAAAATTATTTTTCAACATAGGTCATACAAGTTATAACAATGTGACTTTAATATATCATTGATCAAGATCACTTTGGCAGGTTAATTTTACCTGACTTCACATAGAGATAATTGATAAATGAACTTCATTAGCTAGTAAAATTCAAAACACACCTGCCAGAGATGAAGATTGAGAACCAAAACTATGCTCCTAATCTTACTTCAAAAGTAACGGTTTTGTTTTACTAACAAGTTGGTTAAAGTAGATCCTGTGAGGAAAAAAATTAAAAATGTAATGCCAACATATATAAAAAATAAAAGAAAATAAAATTAGATCATATGTTAATTACTACTTTTCAAAAAAAAAAAAAAAAAGGTTAATGAATAACCAATTGACCTTTAGAACTTTCACATATTTGGTAGGCCATATAACCGTGCAGAATTCACAAAAAAGGGTGGTTAATTTGATGATTGAATTGAAAACTATCCCATTATATTTATTTTCCTGGAACTGTAACTAATTTAATACCATACCATCTATCCATATCGATTTATATATGTATATATATCAAATGCATAGTTGCATGGTAGGTAAATACAGAAACAGAAGAACCCAATTCTTAAAAGGGATGATGTTGACGCTGTGGAGATACATACAAATGGAAGGTAGCCTTAGAGATAGCTCTCGACAATTTTATAATTTCCACATGTCGTGCATAGGGAGTCATTTCGTTTTATTCTCGTTAGCATTTGAGCCTGAGCATCTATTGTCTAAAATGGAGTTCTCATTCAAACTGCTACCTGTGGCATATGCCATAGTTATAAAGTGCAATGTCAACAAATTTTGAAAGTCCACCCATCATCTTGTGCATGTAATGTAATAAAATCATCTCGGCTGCTCTGGAAAACAAATAACTTACATGAGTTTTAAGTAAGTATTTTGATTAATGGTCTTTCTATTTTGACATTATTAATGGTCTTTATATTGATGTTTACCTCAGCACGTCCAGACATAATGAAAGAACCTGTTTACAAGCTTAAAAATCTGCAATACCTGGAATGACCAAATAGGATTTAGTTTGCAAAACAAGAATTACAGACATTTATAACTAAAATTCATAAAATAATAAAAAAAGATCATGAAAAAATTTCACCAAATAGTATTTAGTTTGCAAAACAAGAATTACAGACCTTGATTAACTGATTCAGAAAAAAAAAAATTAAAAAAAATTAAAACAAAACCCATACATACAAGTTAGCAGTTACAGAAAGAGGGGCTTGAGAGTTGAGAGACAGAGGGCCAGCGGTTGAAGAGATAAATAAACTAAATTATATGGGTTTTGAACTTCTGATTCTTGTAGATTTTGTAGTTTGCAGTTGCAGAGAGAGAGAGGGCAAGTTCAGAGTCGAGAACGAGAATAGAGATGGAGACGATTGGGGAGGCTGAAATGATTTGCCCTAAAAATATTGATGTTGAATAATTGAAGAAATTACTTATCTGTATAACTCAGCTTGTTCAAGACTCGAATTTAACCCAAATTTACCAATTACTCTTTCAAAGCCTGCAAAGGGAGATCCCATTTCAGTCATTATCTTCATAAACATTTATAACTAAAATTCATAAAATAATAAAAAAGATCGTAAAAAAATTTCACCAAATAGGGTTTAGTTTGTAAAACAAGAATTACAGACCTTGATTAATTGATTTAGAAAAAAAAATATTAAAACAAAACCCATACATACAAGTTAGCAGTTGCAGAGAGAGGGCTTGAGAGTTGAGAGACAGCAGGCCAGAGACTGAAGCTTGAGAACGTCGAACCCGAATTAGAACAGCGGGCGACGGAAACTAAAGGATATAGGTTTTGATTTTTTGAACAATCTGAAATGATATGCCGAGATGGGTTCTGATTCTTGTAGATTTTGTACTTTGCAGTTTTAGAGACTGAGAGAGGGCCGAGTTGAGAACGACAATAGAGATGAAGGCGATTGGGGAGGCTGAAATGATTTACCCTAAAGTATTGTCGCAGTTGCAGAGACATAGAGAGGGCCGAGTTGAGAACGAGAATAGAGATGAAGGCGATTGGGGAGGCTGAAATGATTTACCCTAAAGTATTGTTGGTGCGTATAAAATATATATTCTTAAATTTTTTTAAGAAACTAGCGAGAATAAGACCCACGTATTGGTGCCTAAAACTAAATTCACTTTCTACCACGGTGCCTACACCGTGGTAGAATAAATTATTATCACGGTTATTTTAAAATCGTGGTAAAAAAGGCGTGGTAAAAAACTGTTTTTCTTTTAGTGCCTATTTATGGATATATATATATGTATGTATTGTATATTTATGTATATATATATATGAGTATATTTATGTATATATATGTGTGTGTGTTATATGCAACCCATGATAAAGAAGTTGCAAGAAATAGGGGGCTAAAATGTCATGAAAGGAAAGATCAAATAGGAAGGTCCAACCGGAAGGAAGTTACCCAGGATAAGGGTAACGTGGGTTTGCAAGTAATTTCTTTATTTATGCATGATATATGTGGAGTTGTATGGGGAAAGAAAAAGTCTGTAGGCGGAAGGGATTATAAAGATCGTGGGACACCTTGCCAAGCAAGAATACGTCGGTTAAAAGTGGCGGAGCTTCATAGGGGAACTACCACTAACTGAGGGAAGTTATCAAGGATCATGGATGACAAGGCTAAAACTGATTAAATCATGTCTGAAATTAAGGAAAGAAGTCGACAACATGAGGAAAAAGAACATGGACGTGGGACACCTGTTAATTGATAAAGAGGACACGTGGGAATTCACTTTAAAACTACATACGACACAAGTTCATCGAAGACTAAAGAGAATATGGCTGAAGTCTGCTACAGAGGAAGGATAAGATGGAAAGAAGAAGTTACAACTGCCAAGAGATCATGGGACACTTGGCAGTCCAAAATTTAGCCACGTGGAAATCGCTGGAGTTGTCACATCAAGCTGCTGCATGTATGGAAAACTCGACAAATAGAGCACTTAGAGCTAGTTTGCAAACCTTGTTCAAATCACACAACAATACAACACTTCAATTTCTTTACATTCATGTCTCTTTACATTTATGTAATGCAATTTTAATATGTTTAATTCAAGTCCCGAACTTATCTTTCTTAATTTCCAGCACCTTATTTTGCAGTCTTGCACTTTCAATACAGCTTTTCTTTCCACTAGCTATAGAGTAATCCAAAAGTCATTTTTCAAGGCAAAAAGAACCTTTGAAGGTGGTAATTCTAGTCCTTCATACAATTGCCTGATCCTTACAATCTCCTACTGGATAATTGTTCGGATATTTACTTTGGAACGACAACAGTTCCTAGTACACCCGACATTCACCCTCCTTTCCGTACTTGGAAAGGACCACGATTTCTAGGAGCCGAACACCTTATTTTATTTTTATTTTATTATTACAATTATTTTGGGGGGTAAAATTCGATCAATTATAGTACTCCTAATTTTAAAAGGATAGTCTTGGCATTAATTATTATTTTATTGTATTTTATTTGATTATTTGGCATTTTATTTGCTTATTTGCTTAATGGTTTTAATTGTGGTGATTTAATTGAATTAATTGTATTATTTACTTGAATTAATTGTTTTAATTGTTTAATGGTTTAATTGTCTTATTTATTTTATTTAAATGAATTAGTTGATTATATTATTTTATTAATTATTAATCATTAAAATATAATTTAGGGTTTTATATTATGTTTAGGTAATTAAGTTATGAGCCAACTAGTTTTGATTTTCTTTTAGTTTTTCCGTCTCGTATTCTGACTAGAATTAGGGTAAACTTATTTGCCTATATAAATATGTGTATAAGTCTGCCCAGGGTTTGAGAACCTTATTCACGTACTAGAGGCGGAGTGAAACAGAGAGAGATTTGAGAGGAAAACAGAGAGGACGGTATTCTGTGATTGCCGGAAACTTCAGTAATCGCCGAAAATTTAGAAAGACGACGCTGAGATTTTTAACCAAAGTCTCAAAGGCAAGTTTTATTCTTAATTCTCTCCCTTTGACTCATGTTCTTTACATGTCTAACACAATTCCAGGAGTAATTAAATGTTAATATAATCTGGTTTGCCTGTTAGATTCGATTAAAACAGTAGTTGTATTCATAAATTGGTTTTGCTTGATTTTTGACTTTGCTTACATAATTCGTGTTTTAATTAATGTAACCATGCATAATGAATTTTAAATATTCTCTGGAACACATTGGGACCTAGTTCAGACACCTAGGAACCTTAGGAATGGAGGACAGAGGATTGGGAAGTCGCCGGAGATGAAGCAGGTGAGGAAACGGGAGAGAGCCGGCTCCCGGTTGAAGGGAGCAGGCTCCCCTTTACAAAGAAGCAGCTCCCTCATTGAGGGAGCCGGCTCTAGGGGCCTTGGAGGCAGCTCCCTTGAAGAGGGAGCCGGCTCCATGATGTTTGGAGGCAGCTCCCTCTTTGAGGGAGCCGGCTCCTTTGTGGGGTTTTAATTTTTTTTGTTTTCCAATGAGTTTTTTTTGCTACTGTACATGGATTTTTGGGTTTCAGGTTCAGTAAGGAGCTGAAAAAGGAAATTTAATTGATGTCTAGGATCACATTAAAACTACAGAAAGCTGGTTAATGCGTATTAAACCACCTAGGGTTATAGCTTGAATAATATATAAGTTTCAAATAAATTGGTACTGTTATTGGTTATGGACGACTTAAATTACTGATGTTTATTTTAGCAATTTTATGTGAATGGTTATACAAATCTAATCATGTATCAGTAATATAATATAAGCCTGCTGAAATCTATATTCTTATTGTGCTTGTAGAGGATCAATTAATGTTTAGATTTTACTATTTTTTGCATCAATTGTTGGGTTGGTATAGTATGAGCATGATAATTTATTCATTTTTAATTGTGCTTGTCATGGAATTAATTGATGAATATATTTACCTAGATTCATTAATTATTGAAGTAAACATGTTAATTTATATATTTCTATTATGCTTATTATAGATCAATTGATATTTACATTTATTATTTGTATTATCAATTACGGGATGTATGGATTTTATGCACCGGAATGGGACGATGGCATACTGGGAATGAATTAACTCAAAACGCTAAGTCCTAACTATTCTGGAATAAGGGAATGAAATATAAAAATAAAAATCCTACTTATATTTAAGTCAGCGCAGCTGAACAAGCTGAATGACTACTGGATTTCTTATGGATGGATATGATAGGACTTTTATATATATGTTATGGTACTATGATGTGAGGTTGAGTCCCAGAATCGATGGTTAAGGAGCGTATATGCAGTAGGATACGTAGTTGGCTATGATAGGTTGAGGTATACCCTGTTAGGTTTAGGTACACATGCCTACTTTCAGTGCGTTTTGCATGTTGCCTCTATTCAGGTTGAGACCCCCTTTGTAGTCCAGTGAGAGTCATTTAGTGTGGATTTATATATATGTACGGACTATATAGCTATTGTTGAGTTGTTTAGGATGTACATGTGTATCAAGTCTCTGTTTGGATTGTAATAGTTTAGAACTTGCTCGTGAGCCTGACCCACTATCATTTTTCAGGTGTTCGTTAGTTCCAGGCGTAGATTTTGTTCGTGCTGAGCAGAGACTATCACTCACTCTTCCGACGACGTACGATTTCTCATCATGGTTTAGCTTTGGATTTCATTTTTAATTGTTTTCATTTCAGTTGGATTTTTATCAGGGGTCCACTAGATGGATTCCCGAGTTATTTAAATAATGGAGGTTTTGGATTATTGGATTTTAGTTATATAATTTTGAGGATTTTAATTTAGAATTCTTTTCAGCCTTTATCATTTATTTATTATATCATTTTGTAATTCGTGTTCATTTATATATTAATTGTCTGGTATCCCTCGGGTTTGGGCTTTGGCCTGATCAACCCATGTCTTGGAGTCGAGGGATATCATCAATCCTAGCACCTTGGTGAATATGTTATCACAATTTTTAATTCATATTTTAAAAGCATTTGATCTATAGTTAGATATATAAAAAAAGCATACTAGTTGAAATAGTTATATGCACATATATGAGTGTATTTGTGTGTATGTATGTATATTGTTTTACCTATGCTACAAACCGAGGATGCTGTCGACTGCCCCATACATCAGCAGCAATTTCAATTGAGGATATAATTAAAAGAGGTGGGAAGGCTCGAACCTGGCCAATGATAGCCAAAGCCAAGACCTTACCAACTCATCCAAGGCCCCTGGGCTTGTTTTACCCTTGCTATCACTGTTGTTACATTATTACAAGGCTTATATCTTCTGCAATGTACTCCTACAATTTTATGCTTCTCGTACTCTAATTTTAAAAATCAACCACACATGATATAAATAACAATAATATATTCAGCATAAAAAGTATGCTCTTTATGATTTGGCTTGGGAAAGAATTATTCAGTTTTATTATTTCTACGTTAATTTAAAGAATCAATTGCTCAAAATGCGATCATGGAAAGTAATTTTTGAATTGCAGTTGTAAGAAAATTACGTTGTAGTGCAGATGAAACTAGCTTAATTTATTTCATTTTTTTAATTATTTAAACCTACATGTCAATACAACAGTTCGACAATTTCATAAAGTATGGACTATGGACTATTAGTTACTGCAATGATAAAAAAAATTATATGACAAGCTTAACAACTTTGAATTTAAGTCTTAATACAATCGTCTTATAAAAATAATGTGAAAATTACCGAAGAGAGAGAGAAAAAACGTTCCATTGAAATGACCAATAGTTTTGAATGTTGGTGGATTAGAAATCCTAATTCGTAACTAAGACGTACTACATCCAACATGAAGAGATCCAAACTAATAGTCTGCATGCCTATATTAATGAAGAATTCTAATTAGTTGATAATTTTGTAAAAAACATCAGCATTGTAATTCATGTTGAGTAGATCTTCTTGTTCATGAGCTGTAGAGAGAAATTTATGTCACCACAAACGAAGACTAAAGCAACACTGTTGGATTCAAAGCTGGTGTTAAAAAAGTAAGAATTTATTACTGGATGTTTAGTCATGTGATTCACAACAACAATTCTTGATATTATCAAATCCTAGCTAACTCGTTAAAATTCTTGATATTATCAATCATGGTATCCTAAACAAATCTAGAAAGTGGAGAATATGTCAAGAAGGAATAAATTACTATTTTCACTGATTTAATCTTTAATAGACAGAATTGATATATAAAACTCTAATACAATTTTTACCCAAATCAAACCATTCATTTAATATAGGTATACTTGGCCCAATATTTTAAAAAAGAAAAAATTAGTAGTAATATTTGCCGCTTCCCAATTTTAATCCATCTAAATAAGCCCAATATCTAAGCCACAATTTTAAAATAAAAGTCCAATCAAATAGACCTAAGCCGAACAAGTCCTAAACAAACACTAAGCTAAACTCCTAAATTCCTAATCTTGCACAAATCAGAGAGCTCACTCATTCTCTCCCTCTAAAATCTAACCTTATTTCCTCTAAAATTTTCCAACTCTTTAATTTTTCGATTCCCAATTCTCCCTTGTTTAATATTAGTCTCCCCTATTAACAATTCCTGGATTCGACCTTGGGAAGACAGTCCACAAGGCATCCGGTAGCCCTTGGTACGGCCCAAACCGAGTCTTGTACTTGGGCCCACTCTCCGGAGAGCCACCATCCTACCTCACTGGTGAATTCCCTGGTGACTATGGTTGGGACACTGCTGGCCTTTCTGCTGACCCGGAGACCTTTGCCAAAAACCGTGAGCTTGAGGTGATCCAGTGCAGATGGCCCATGCTCGGAGCTCTCAGGTGTGTATTCCCTGAGCCCTTGGCTAATAATGGTGTCAAGTTCGGTGAGGCTGTATGGTTTAAGGCCGGACCCCAAATCTTCAGCGAGGGTGGACTTGACTACTTGGGCAACCCCAGCTTGATCCATGCCCAAAGTATTTTGGCCATCTGGGCCTCACAAGTCATCTTGATAGGCGCTGTTGAGGGCTACCGTATTGCTGCTGGGCCGCTCGGTGAGGTGACTGACCCACTCTACCCCGGTGGAAGCTTTGACCCATTGGGCCTTGCTGATGACCCAGAGGCTTTTGCTGAACTTAAGGTGAAGGAGATCAAGAATGGCAGACTTGCCATGTTTTCTATGTTTGGGTTCTTTGTCCAGGCCATCGTGACCGGAAAAGGCCCATTGGAGAACCTCGCTGACCACCTTGCGGATCCAGTCAACAACAATGCTTGGGCCTATGCCACTAACTTTGTCCCCGGGAAATGAGAGAGAAAAAAAAGACTCAAGTTGTGAGTTCAATTTAATTTAAAGAATGAATATGAGAATGGTGCGTCATGCAAATTTGTGTGAGGGAAATTTGAAATTCTGATTGTTTTGCCACTAGTACTATCTCAGATTCTCATCTGTGTGAATGAATGTTCTTAATCTTCCTTCAATCAATCTCTCATCTCTTTATTTGGCTTTTACATTTACTGTTGCAAATTGAGACTTGTGATTTAATAAAAAGATTTAATCCATGAAGGTGAAACATATATTCAGAGATACAAACCCTAAAAAGGCTATTTGATGGTTAAACATACCATACCCATCAAGCAAGGAAGATGCGACCACTATCACCATCTATCCACGCCAATTTCTTCTCTTCTCTCAGACAGGTAAATCTCAAAACCCCCATCTCTCAATATCTATATATATATACATAACACATAATGCATATGTGCTTTTAATTATCTTATTTACATGAACAGGTGGAGAAGAGATTGAAATTAGAACACCCATCACAGCCTCCCACTCCCTCTTCCCCACAACCGCCGCAGCCGCCGCCGCCGCCGCCGCCACCACCACATCAACAACAGAACCCTGCTCCTCCACCACCACCGGAAAGCAATTATACATCAACAGAGTCTCTCAGTACCCCTATATACCTCAACTTGGACCAACCCACCAACAGCAGCAGCTCAATCCTCCAAGACAGTGAACCCCCTCAACAATTCCTCTCAAATTCCCCTGATTTCCCACCAACCCATGAAGACCCACCTCAACCAAACAATGAACAAACAATGAATGAAGTTGATACGAATGGCATTGACAGCATTGAATTGTTAATCCAATTATTGGGTCTATCAGATTGTAAAGAAGAGGAACAACAATGGGTTGGTTTGGGTTTAGAGAATGGTGGAGGCGATCGCGGTTGTGATGAGGAGTTTTTAGCCAAGATTGTTGGAAGGAAGGGGCCAAAGTGTGGGAAGGATGTGGAGAGATTGGAGGGATGGATTAAGCACTTTTTGAATGATGGTGGGGAAGAAAAGATTGAACCTTTGAGGTTGGCTCATTTGCTTTTGGGGAAAACTGCTTTTGTTTCAGAGGATAGTGATGGTTTTGGTGGTTTTGAGTTCCCCTCGACTATAGAAGAATTCTTGCAGAATGATCCACCAGAAGAATAGGTCTCTTTTATTGAACTACTAATACATGAGAGCACCTTCTCACTGTTTAGGTGTGAATTTTATTGTATTCCTGTGTCATCAGAGATCTCATTTTATAAACAAGTGTGGTTTACTCTTTGATCATCTGTAGCAAATTTATGAACTAGTTGATAGATGTTTGCTTATCCTATGCACAACGTTACAGTCAATGGTTAATATTTGGATCCATCCATGGTGGTGGGAAGGTTGAAGAAAGATTTATTTGCACCTATTGATGAGCTTGTGGAGGCAAAAACTAGGGGCGAGAGGAAAACTCTAGCAAGCAGATAAGGAGTTAATTTAAGTTGGGGAGTCTATGTTTCACACCTGCATTTCTTGTTGTGAGTGGCCCATTGATTGTGTAAATCTGTAAATTCTACGCTGTGGTTCGTGATTGGAGCAACAAAGGGATGAGAGGAAACTACATTAGGTTAGCTGAAGTAAACTAGGTGATGGGAAGTGTGAAGGGGGTATGGGATTTAGGGACCTAGCCTCCTTAAACCTTGCCTGTTGCCTGTTGCCTGTTGGTTAACAATAGCAAAAGGTACTTATAGGAACATATTACTGCCACTGCTCTTTTCTGAATGCAACTAGTGGAAGTAGCCCATCTTGGATATGGCGAAGCTTTCTATAGGACGGGAAGCTCTGCAGCAGGTATTAGATAGAGGGAGAGGAATGGCAAAGAAATTAATGTGTGGTAAGATCCATGGCGCCCCAAGTCATCTACTTTCAGAGCTAGGTCCAAGCAATGAGTTTGCTCGGGAGTGTGGTTCGTTTCAGACCTCATTGTTCAAATTACTTGTGGTTGGAAGGAAGATCTAGTATATCAAATCTTCCATGAGGGTAATGCACTGGAGATAACACGGATTCCTTTTTTAAGACTGGGGGATTCGGATAAGTTGATTTTGTAGCATACTAACGAGGGATCTTTGCTCTTCCTGTAATGAATGACCAGAGATAATCCTTCACTTTTGTTTAGCAAATGTTATTTTGCTAGACTGGTTTAGTACCCTTCAATATTCATTGTTGGAAACGCAATTTGTGAACTCTTGGTGGCAAAATTTGGTGGAAATTATAAGTTGTTGGACACTGGAGTGGGATATAATGCTGTTTTCATCCTTTGGAGGTCATGGAAGTCTTGCAGTGAGTTTGTGTTTAGCCAAGTCCAGATGCCATCCGTTACAGGTTGCGGATCTTGCTCAAAAGGGCAGCTGATGAGTTCGGTATGGTGCTATCTCAAGAAGAGCAGAGTGGAAGGACGAAAAACTCCCCAGTGACTGTCCTCGCCGTTGTGGCGCCTTCCTAACCATCTGTATTTTTAGCTTCATGGGTTATGGAACGGAGTGGTAGTATCAGTGCAGTAGTGCACAATGAGGCAAGGGAGTTAATAGCAGGTCTGTGAAGTTCTGCAACTTTGTAAGGTGGGGGATATGGAATTGCATTCTGCAAAAAGATGCTCAAAGGCTTAAATTGGGTGTTAAAAAAATTCAGAGATATTTCCCTCATTTAGGTTCACGTTATTCTTGATTTTTTGCTCAGTAGGTCAATGTTATTCTTCAAGTTGTATATGCAAGTCTGTAAATAAGATGAACATGTTTCAGTGGAGTAAAATCTAATAACCAAAAGTCAATGGCATAATGTGACAATGAAACAGTAAAATTGGAGCGCAAAGCAAATTAATGATAATTGCATTTGATAAGCTCTTAGATTTATGGGTTGCCATTTCAGAATCAAGAAGTCATTGCTTGTTTTAGATGCCAGTTGAGTCTGTCAATATATGAATATCACGTTTAGCCGATTACATGACAATGCTCTTGATTCTACACTTGAAGATGGATTTTGCAATGCCAGAAAAATTAATAAAACAAGGAATTTGAAAAATAAAATAAAAAAATAATTTTGAAAGTGATGACAGCTGTGGGATTTGAACCCACGCCCTTTCGGACCAGAGCCTAAATCTGGCGCCTTAGACCACTCGGCCAAACTGTCTGATGTTGCTTAGAAACTTAAATCTGAAGAAAAGAGTTTGAAGAGAGCAAAGCTAAATTAGGACATACAATGCAATACGAAAAGTAAGTGCATGTCATGTAAAAAAATTGAAGTGCAATTTGGAAATGTAAATGAATTGAAATGCAGAAACTTGTATTGAAATTCTGAAATTAAAATGTAAGGAATTGAAAGGCATGAAAGGATAAATGACAACTTATAGAGTTAAATTTGTTGTGTAGTTTGGAGGGGGTTTTCATGAAGCTCTAAGTCTTCTATTTAATTGATTTGTCAGGATAGTTACATAGTGTGGACTTTTTTTGTGGGACAAAGGGAGTTTGTTATGTAATGTTAATTTAAGGGACTTTTTTTTTTTTTTTTTTTTGTTATATATAGTGTTTGATTTTCATAATACCTCTAGCCATGTCTAACATCGGCAATGGTGATTTTGGGAAGAGAGACCCAAATTGTATTTCAGAGAGATTGTTTTTAAGCTTATTTTTTACAGTTTTTCTTTTGTTTTTAGTTCTTTTTACTGCATCAACAACTTCAAATTGATTGAAATAAAGATTACCCGTTGCATTTGTCGAGATAAGTTGAATGGCCCATATTCCCTATTTGAGCCCAAGAGGAGGTGGTTGTCATGCCGTACATCATAAGAAAAGTTGTTAACACTTGTACGTGGAACACCTCCCAATTACGTAGACGAGTTTTGAAAGAAGAAAATATGCAGATCAGATAGTTTAAGGTAAGCTACTGATAAAACCTTTTTTGTTTTTTGTTTTTTTGGTTTGGGGTACAAAACTCCATTGGACTAAAATCGAATAAGATTAAATAGATCAGTAGAGAGAATCTTTGTAAATCTAAGGCCGATGGGGGCATTGGTTTCAAGAACGTCGAAGCTTTTAATTTAGCTCTTTTGGCCAAGCTTGCATGGAGAATGGAAATAGGTGATCAGTCCCTATTATTTCGGTGTTTCAAAAAGAAATATTTCAAAAATTGCAGTTTTGTGGATGCCTCGAATAGATCCAGTGCCTTGTGGGTTTGGAAGAGCATCCTTTCGGCTCGGGAAGTTATAAAAAGAGGGATGAAATGGCGGATTAGTGATGGTTCTCTTGTTAATTGCTGGAAGAATAATTAGCTACCTGACATTCATAATTTATCCGTTACCTCCCAGCAATTTAGGGCTGATTTTTCATCCGTGGCCGACTTAATCAATCATTCCACTCACTCATAGAATAGAAGGCTGGTTTGTAGTTTTTTAATCATCGGGACAGAGATCTTATTCTTCAAATTCCGCTTAGCTCAATGGGGAGAGAAGATTGCAAAGTTTGAGGTGTTTCAAGGATGGTTGTTTCTCTATGAAAAGTGCTTATTTTGTGGCCACGTCTGCGCTCAACAGTAAGTCTCATTTTGCATCAGATGAAGGTTGCAGTTTTGATGCAGACAAGGGTCATATGTGGAGTATGGTTTGGAAAATTCTCGCTCCTAGAAAAATCCAACTCTTTTTATGGCAATGCCTTCACGAAAGAATCTCCATCAATAAGTTACTGTTTTCTCGTGGGGTTTCCGATGTGTCTTGCTGTCCTTTTTGTGATTCAGCTGTCGAGACTGTGGATCATCTTCTGTGTACCTATCCGTTCGCAATACTTGTTTGGAAACTCAGGCCATTGAGAATTGATTTTTGCTCCCCTAATCCAACCTTTTGGCCAAAGAGGTGTACTAGTATTTGTGATAGGTGGAAGGAGTTAGTTATTGCAGCTGAATGCACCGGTCTAGTGGCTTTTATCTGTTGGACAATTTGGAAGTGTAGAAATGATGTGGAGTGTTTAAACGCAAAAGATGGGATCCATACGAAGCTACTCAAAAGGCTATCTTTAATTTTCAGGAATTTCAGGAGATCTCTTGGCAAAATGGATTGCTTTCCATCCCTTCCCATCATGTTCCTTCTCCATTAGTGGTATGGACTGTGCCGGGGTCCGAGTGTATTAAGCTCAACTATGATGAGGCTTTTAATCCTTCAACGAGATTATGCGGTAGTGGCATGATTTTGAGAAATCATCTGGGTTTCCCATCAAGGTGGCTTCTGTTTTTTTGGATAACGTTGGCAGCCCTTCACTAGCGGAGAGTCTTATTCTCCGCGAGTCTTTGCTTCTCCTCAAATGTTGGGGCTATCATAATGTAATGGTGGAAGGTGACTGCAAACCTGTGATGCAATTGAATGTTTCTGTGGAAGCTCAGAAGGTGGTTTTCTTGGATGTTCTTTCTCTTCTCCAGGTTTGTGTTGGCTCTTCCCTTGCGTGGATTCCCCGTGAAAGTAATGTTGTGGCTCACTTAATTTGTACAAAAGCTCTTGAAGCCGGTTATGGTGATTTGGAGGGGCGCATTTGAATGTATGGTTTGTTTGTTGGTGAAAAAAAAAAGAAAAAAAAGGCACATTTAGTATTGGTGTAATGCATATATTACGAAAAGTTGGTGTATGTGACATTGTGGTTTTGGAACTCGGGTTTTATTTTTTAAAAAGGAGGTCATTTTCACACATTTTTTTTTTTTTTTTTTTTTTGAAGGGTAAATTATACTGTAATAATTTCCCTTGAGTTTGAGGTCATTTTCAAGTGGTTTTGAAATTCGAGTTTTATTTTTTGAAAACGAGGTCATGCTTTGAAGGTAAAAATAAGTAATACCTTTGTAGACCTAGTGCTATCTATTATCAAGAAATATTATATATATATATATATGTGTGCGCGCGCGCGCAACATTCCGTTATAGTCTGTCGACTTTGAAGGATTTGATAAGGTTTTGAAGGAAACTTTTAAATTCAATCATGGTTCGTGACTTAGCCCACAACTAAATTAATTAATTTGGTTAGATGAGAATTGAATCTGCCCGGTGGTAATGATGTGGAGCAGAGGAAGATGAAATTGATTATCTATTATTATGTTTTTTTATGTTAGAGTTGGGTCGGTAAAGTGGCAGGCGAAAGATTTTGTTGATGTTTGAATTATGTTTTGGAATTTTTTAAAAGTAGTGGTGTTTGTAGCAAATTAGAGAAAATAGTAGTCGTCTACAGTGAGAGAGAAAGGTGACGATGATGTTTGAAGAGAGAGAAGGTGAAGGACGCGGTGGACGACGATGATGGTTTGTCTGTGCCCTGAGTGATCTTGCACTGCCCTGCGCTACAAGTCAAGGAGAGTTTTGAGCAATTCGCCATAATTAAATCCCACCAAAAACCCTCATTCTTGTAAAGTCAAGATTGCTAACAGATCCAACCATGAATTTCATATGGCAAACTTGGTATAAAGGCGAACCCTTGACAGGTCTAGGATGATGGATTGTTACCACAAATTAGGCATGAAAATAATAACATGCTAATTCAGCAACCTAAGAGCTATAGATCAAAAGCAATTGAAATTATTCTCTCATTGAATCAAACCTCTTCTGCAATAATGTACCTCGTTAAAAGGCTAATCCAGCAACCTAATGCATATCAAGCAGTAATCAAATGGTAGACAAAACCATACCTACATCCATTATGGAGTTAATCCACATATACAGATCATGCAAATACGTGGGACAGCAGCAAGACGATCCAAAAGTTGTTTTCAGACTTGCTCACATGAGAGCAAGCGTGTGCTGAAGGAGAAGAGAGAGGGGAGGGTGACCGATAAAGGAACTTTCCACATGATCCGACCAAAGCAAATCGAAGAAAGAGTGTAAATCAGATGAGCAACACAAAGGAAAGCTTTCGGATTCTCCTCAGTGAACTGTCTAATTGACATAAGAGAGTAGAACCCTAACAATTGGGGCAAGCAGTTGAAAAGAATCAGCAGTGCACCACTACTTATTGGGGCTGCAGTGGAGAATGGGGCCAGGGAACATGATGCATGCACAATAATAACTTTAATGTCTCAAAATCCTCAGCATTCAGAAGATACTAAAACATTAGAAAGAAAAGGCAATACTGAAAGATTTGATCAAGACATGGTTGGATAATGTAGTAATCAGTATCCAATAAGATTATAAACTATTTATGAGTCCAGAACGAAATAATAACTACCCATGATTAACAACAAAATATAAATTAATTAATTAAATGTACATGAGTACATGACAGGAGAGTGCATTAATTAAAAAATTTAAAGTAGCAGTAGGAAACAGGCCAGAAATTTAGTCATTACAACCAGCAACTAGGATAGAGTATGCATGGTACACATCAACTCCCACCCTTCCCCCCAAATTCCCCCATAAACTGTACTCTCAGAATTCATATTTTTTCTGCCCAAATTCACCATTCAGCAGCAATACCCAGAAACAAAAGTAACGTTGGAATTTCTACCAAAACCACGCGCAGAACACTAGGCAACATTATTCTCTTACAACCTACCTGTTGAGAGAGAGAGAGACAAATCCTTTGAAGGACAACTCATATGGTATACTAGTAATACAAGGAGAGTTCAATTTGTGTTACCTCAGCAGGGATGCATATTTATTCTAATCGCCTCCAATCTTTTGTGCTTCTACCTTAAGAGACTTTAGGTACCTAACAGCTTCATCAAGAACAGCAATGGTGCTCATTCGATTGCCACCACCAGGATGATTCCTCGTCCTCATGTTCTGGCGCTTCCTTTCACTGTTAAAGCTCCTACCACTGCTAGAGAAATTCTCTAAAGATGATAGCCTACCCTTTATGGTTTTTGAACCATAAGTGGAGCAAGAATCAGCAGAATCCAGTTCACAGTTTTCATGACTCCGTGCCGTGCTGACCTCTTCCTCATCGTATTCTTCCTCTTCTACCTCTTCCAAGCTCAACAAAGCATCAATATCATCTGAATCTTCTTTCAGCAATGAGGAGATTTCTCTCACCTCATTATGTGCATCATTCCTATCACCATTATCTTGGAAGCAAGAGGAATGAAGATTTAAACCAGGATAACAGAATTTGGGAGCAGCTGCTGGGTGGAACATAATCTGGCTTCTCTTATCAGTCTGATCAACGATAATGAAATTCTTTGGGCAGAACTCAAAGGGCTGAAATTCAACTCCATGGAAGGGCCTTGGGTGCTTTACACCCGGAGGTAAATCTATCCCACCAAAGGTGGACATAACGGGTTCATTATCCATGTAACTACCTCTCACTTGATTTGAAAGAGGGACCACTGGCTCCTGATGGAGAACTTGATGGTCACAGTGCATGACTAGTCCTACTGAATAACCAAGTTTGCTGAAAGACAATTCTATGGCTTCTGGGACCGGATTATTCAAGATTCAATTAAATAAAAGTTCCTGTAGCAATGAGAACACTAAATAATACACCTAAGCTGTTTCCATTACAGAATAATAGTGGTGTCCGTGGCAGAGGTGTCTACTGCAAGTTCACATTTATCAAATTAATGCTTCATTGCTTAATACCGCCTTCTAATGTATGAAGAATACCAGGGATAGTGAGCCCCAATGTCCCAAGGCTTTTTATACTAGACTACGTAACAGGTTTCAGCAACTGGCGGAAATACTCAGCCTGCAAGGCAAATGATAAGCCATGAGTATTACTGACATGCCATCAACACGATAGAGAGAGAGAGAGAGAGAGAGAGAGAGAGAGAGAGAGGTTCATAATATGAATTTACACCTTGGAAGTGATGAATGAGAAACACCAAGATGCAAACTGAACGAAAACTTCGATTTCAACACCATCTTATCAAATTATAAAGACATAGCGCTCACTGATAAAGGACATCCAAAGCATGTAGGCATGTTTGTCAACAAGGTATAACCTAATTGAAATCAATTTCTGTTTCCAAATTGAGCTAGGATCTTTATGCTGGAGTGATATTCGCAGAATTCTAAATTTAATTTCAATCAGACACACGAAACATATGCAATTTCAAGACATTTCAAGCAATGAGATTCATTTTGATTACAAGGGGTAAGATTGTAAATTAATGCAAAAATAAATTCTATCAATAGCTGTTAGACAATGAAATGGCACACTTTAAAACAACAGAAAGTTGCACAAAATCCTCAAGTTATACAAGGATGGAAGTTAGAACACACCACCAACAAAAAAATTGACAAACGCATAGAAGAAAAGGTTGCTGCTGAATATAAATCCTTATTGCAACTTCTTGGCCATCACTCACTGTTCATCCCAACTAAGGGGTGAATAGGTACAGACTTACAGTGAACTGGAAATAGACTTAACTTTTGCACAAAGTGTCTGCTATCGTGTCCATAAATGAATAAAAATATTACTACTATAGTACCTCATTTACACACTGAAACTAAAGGTTCTAAAACAAGAAGAAGTTGTTTTTGAAAATTAGATAAAAATAGAGGTTATTTTCAGTAACTACTAATCTACATTTTTAAAAACGGAGAAAATTATATAAAATAATTCACTACATATTGACAAGTGTATTGAATTCTTTTTTCTCTCTCCCCAAAAATAAATCATTAAACATATTTCTCCTATCTTCATTTTAATAAATAAATAAAAAAAGAAAACAAAAACGAGAATAAAAAATAGTTTCCAGAAAGATAGCAGGCAGGACCTAACATTCTAGGTTGCTTAACTAGAAATACGAAACCTATTTTACATAAGCCATTTACAAAAAAATTAATCACATTAGTACCTGAGTACATGAAAATGAGAATATTTCTTAGTACTCACCTGACAAACTTGCATCAATTGGTAATAAGCAATGAACCCAACTCTTATTTTAATCTTCCCAAGTTCTTTCACTGCTCTATATCTCTTTAGTGTGACCGCAATGTACATTCTCACTCCTCCAACCGATATTAGATGGGAAAGATAAAATCACAGAATGCCTTCACAGATCAAAGGGATTGATTGACCTACAAAAGTAAGCACAAAAACCCTCATAAGCAGTTACCAATCTGTTGAATAGATTTCTCTCTTTTTTTTTTAGGTAACAGCGCACCCCACTGTTGGAGGGCTAATTCTAATCACAAACAGCATATTAATTCTCTTCTTCTTTGGTAAACAGCACCCCACACATTTTGGTGTTTGAGAATCAGAATGTCCACGAAATTCTCTTCTTCTTTAGTGTTTTCCACTTATTTATTCATATAAGTAGTTTTCCCCTTAATTAAATCTTGACATTTGTCAAAATGCTTAAGCAAATTATGAAATTATGAAGCTGAAACTTTGGAATAGAACACTGAACGCTTAAACGGAGGACATTTCTCAAAAGAACAAATCAAATTACAGTATCACACGAAAGAACACCACCAAGAGGACACACTTCCAGCAATAATTCACAGACGAAGACCACAGCATGTTGAAAGACTCCTCCAGTCCCAAATTACTAGAAATGCTGTCTTCAAACCTTACAATTAAATCCCAATAATCAGTACGAATACAACTGTTTCATACATAAAATAGAAAAATCAACAACATTCACAAAAAATAAAACCCTCAAAAGACAAAAAACTGAAGAAGACAAAAAAAAAAAAAAAAAGAGCTTTAAATGGCACAAACAACTGTATGCATAGCTATAAATGATGAACATAATCGAGAACAATACACTGCCGATATTATACCAATATTCTGAAGTGCATGAAAAGAACAGATCATGTAAATAATCAACGAACCAGAATATGAATATACACGATCTTGGAGGAAATCAACAAGAAATTATCTAAAAAATAAAGTTCCTTTCCATTTGAAACAAACGTACTATGCGTGTATATATAAAATCAGAAGAAAAGTAAAGTATAAAATGCTGCAATTGGAATAAATAAATTAGAAGCACAGTGAGTAGGAGAGCAAACACATACTGAAATTAGTTTTCTCAGAAGATCAAAACTTGAAGACCACAGGCTTTCGAATACGCTAGATTTCCGGAAGAGAGAGAGAGATTGGGAAGTGGAGGTCCGGATGTTACTTTCTCCCTCTCTGGCTCTTTTGTTTTTGACTTATAGGAGGATGTGCCAAGGGTAGGCCCAATACACAGAAGCCCAACCACAAACTATCCGGCCACAATGAAGCACAATGTAACACCACACAGATGGCCAACAACGCACCACGTAGCCACACTTACACCGCAGCATCAACACCATCAACCCACCAACATCAGATCGGAAAACATCGCCAAAACCACCGGCAACCGAATCACCAATCAGTCCCAACCAAAACACCCCACAAACCAAACACCAGTGCAAACAGAAACCTCACAAACGCCCCCGAAGAACACCGAAAACAGCCACCCCACACCAAAGAGCAACAAGATCACCGGAATCAAACGACCGAACACGGAAAATCAACGCCGCCGAACAACGAAAACAGCCGCCCCACACCACAGAGCACAAGAATCACCAGATTCAGACCACAGAACACAGCAAAAGCAAAAATCCAAGGGCAAAACACACCGGAGCAACACCACAACACACCCAACACACAAGGGAACACACTCAGCAGCAAGACGCAGAAACTCTCACTGAAGGAGAGAACTCTGAACCCAGAGAACCTTGACGACGCAAGGGATTCGGGACGTAGCCAGTTGAAAATCAAATGTAACTTGTGAGAATAAGAAGCAGAGGATCCGGGCCATACATATTGAACTTCTCTCTCTCATCTTCCTCTGAGCATACTGGACACGAAGATTCAGACAGCCATCTGAAGCAAAATCCATATGCACATGCTTCACTTCACGTTAAATGATCAAAAAAGCCATCTTTACAAGAACACCAATCAATACCCATTTCCATATACTTCTCAAATTCTCATCCACATCTTCCACAGCTCAAGCTTCATCATGTCTCGCCGACCTCAGGACCTGCATTGCATCACTGCAAGCATGTGCCCACCACAGGAACCTCACAACAGGTAAGAAACTCCACTCCTACTTGTTCATCAATGGCTTCCACAGCTCCCCATTTTCCATCACGAGCCTAATCAACATGTATTCCAAGTGTAATCGCATTGCCGAAGCCTTATTAGTATTTGATTCATCGACCCATGATCACAACGTATTCGCTTATAATGCAATCATTGCTGGGTTCATCGCCAATGAGTTACCAAAACCCGCAATTGAGTTTTATTGTAGATTGCGGTGCACTGGTGCTGTGCCGGATAAATTTACATTTCCCTGTGTAGTTAGAGCTTGTTCGGATGTTTTGGATGTTTTAGGGGTTAGGAAGATTCATGGGTTGTTGTTTAAACTTGGGTTGGATTTTGATTTATTTATAGGAAGTGCTTTGGTTCATGCGTATTTGAAATTTGGGTTCATGGAAGAGGCAGTAGAGGTGTTTGAAGAATTACCCGTTAGAGATGTAGTTCTTTGGAATGCAATGATTAATGGGTATGCACAGATGGGGCAGTTTGATATGGCATTGGAGGTTTTTAGGAGGATGGGTGAAGAAAGAATTGTTCCAAGTAGATTCACAGTTACTGGGGTCTTGTCCGTTTTTGCCATGATGGAGGACCTAAATAATGGGAAGGCAGTTCATGGGTTGGTAGTGAAAAGAGGGTATCATTCAGGCATTGCAGTTTCAAATGCCTTGATTGATATGTATGGAAAATGCAAATTTGTTGAAGATGCATTGGGGATTTTCGACACGATGGTTGAGAAGGATATATTTTCATGGAACTCTATTATATGTGTTCATGAACAGTTTGGTGATCATGATGGAACCCTAAAACTTTTTGTAAGGATGTTAAGGTCTGGATTTCAGCCTGATTTGGTCACAGTCACAACCATCCTTCCAGCTTGCTCTCATTTGGCGACATTGATGCAAGGTAAAGAAATACATGGGTACATGATTATTAATGGGTTGGGCAAGGATGGTGATGATGTATATGTGAATAATGCTGTTTTGGACATGTATGCAAAATGTGGGAGTATGAGGGAAGCTCACTTGGTTTTTGATAGGATGGGCTATAAAGATGCAGCATCATGGAACATCATGATTATGGGTTATGGCATGCACGGGTTTGGCATTGAAGCATTAGATATGTTTTGTCGCATGATTGAAGTGGAATTGAAGCCCGATGAGGTCACATTTGTGGGGGTTTTGTCAGCCTGCAACCATGCAGGTTTTGTGAGCCAAGGGCGTGACTTCCTGGCACAAATGCCATTGAAATATGGTGTTGTTCCAACTATTGAACACTATACTTGCGTGATTGACATGCTAGGTCGAGCTGGACTGGTGGAGGAGGCGTATGAGTTGGTATCGACAATGCCAATTGATGCAAACCCAGTAGTATGGAGGGCTGTATTAGCAGCATGTCGACTCCATAGAAATGAATCCCTGGCCAAAGTTGCTGCAGAGAGGCTGTTTGAGCTTGAACCAGAGCACTGTGGAAGTTTTGTATTGATGTCAAATGTTTATGGAGCAGGTGGTAAATATGAAGAGGTATCGGAGGTGAGACATATAATGAGGCAACGAAATGTGAGGAAGACACCAGGTTGTAGCTGGATTGAACTCAGTAATGGTGTGCATGTTTTTGTTACTGGTGATAGGACTCATCCTGATGACTGCTTTATTTATGCTGAATTAAATTCCTTGACTGCTAGTCTGCTTGATCATGGATATGTGCCAGATATCTAGCATGAATGTGAAGAATGTAAAATTCTTTTTCCCCGAAACGAGCTGAAATAAAAGTATCTTACACAGCAGATGTAAAATATCAGAGAGTGATATAATTGGTTTGGTTTTACATTCTAGATGAAATGATTTCTCATGCGTGTGCATATATGATGGCATCAAAATCATACATTTTACACATCAGAACAGATTTGTAGACTAGTGGAAAGTATGGTTAGCTGCGCAGCACTAGGACAGGAGTATAAATCATGCTGCCAATCTGCTTATTAAAATAGAAGTTTCAGATTGACTCATCTGCATTTTATTTGTTTCTCAAGATACTTTAAGGGCTTTAAATGTACATTTCTGATTTCAAGATGATGGCCTTGAAAGAACCGTGTGACCTATCTTAATTTTGAGTTGCAACTTGGCATAGTTGCTTGTGATGTAAAACATGATAGATAGAGGTGAATGGGGCAAAAAGGTTTCGCATAGCCAAAGAAAAGTAGTTATGATATAAGTTTTTGTTTACTGAACTATCCTTTATCAAAGGATTTATGCTTAGATTCTGAATTTAGAATGCTTATTATTAGAAATCTTTTTAATTTATTTTGGTATCTAACCTAATCCTTATAGTGTGAATTTTTTTGTTTAACCAAACCCTTCTCTTCTCTCTATGATCATTTTTGAGTGTTGTTTTTTATTTCTTTTTAATGGAGTTGCACTTGTTTTGGCTGAGAATGGTGGACTTTTTGAAAAGAGGAAGGCAATGGCCGTTGCTTGTCCACTGTGATGTCAAGGATCTTAATTTTTCACCTCACTGTTGGTATCACCTTAATTTTTGTTTATGTTCTGTATGTTATATGTGAGAGCATCAAACCACTTTGTACTACATCACAAACTGTCATTTGTCAATACCTCATTGTCCTGAGTCCAGATGTGTATGTTCACGGGTTTTCCATCTTCTCCCCATGTTATAAAATCATTATCCATGATCCTGTTCTCATTATTGGCTTTGATTTTAATCAGGGGTCATGCGCTGCAAAAAAAAAGAGGCTTATGTCAACACGTTACATTGATGCTGCCGCTGATGATACCAGGCTTAAGAATGTGCACTTGTCTGAGAAATCTTTGGTTGATAACAACGTAAATTGCATCAACAAGTTATCTGGTAATTTTGTTTCCTTGTACACGTGATAACTTTCATAGGTTATGGCTATCTTACAGGTGTCATCTGCTTTACTCCACACCTTCCTTTATTCACTGCTTAGCTATGTATTTTAAAATGAGTAAATAGTTTGGATAGGAGGGGAAAAGACAATTATTAATTATTTTCGACAACCATTGAAGAAAATTTGTACATCTTGTGTTGGACTACAGTATGTTGGATACCTCGTTGAAGATTAGTGTTTATTAAAATGACTCACAACAATGTCAAATTTGGAGCAACTTTCTATATTTTGCTTGTTGTGCTGGTGAAACCTATGGCTGACAAGTGATGTGCATTGGAGTACAAGAGAGGCCACTTAGTGCAATAGCCTTCCCCTCCCAGCACCTCACATAAGTGGCAACTAGCACTGGGTAATGGCTTTCCATAACTTCCATGACATGTTAACCTTCAATCTCCACAATTCACGGAAGGCATGTAAAATTGGAAGTTTCTGCTTCTGACTTGATTCTCGTTTTAGGAAAGAATATTGTTTACACACATCACATTTAAGTATACCACCTATTATCCCTTCAAAATGGTAAAATTACATTAAGGATGAATTGAGAAGCACATCCTTAAAAATGGTTTCCTCTGGAAGTCAATGTGTCTCTCATTAGCTTATGAGCCAAATATGTTCCCGAACCATAATCTTTGTCCTTAAAGTGTGAAATTCCATGTGCTTGTCCTAGTATTATTTCAGAGAACTTTTTTTTTTCTTTCCCTTTAATATATGATGTATGTCAAATGAAGTAATTGTACAAAGAGGTAAAGTAGATAAATGTCCAAGTTGTGGACTGGAAATGTGCCAGTGTAAATACAATGGGATATGGGATGTGTCCAACACATAAGGTTGGGACAGGCATCTACAATAATGCAAAATTTATTGTATAATTGTATATAAAACTCGAGTCAACTCAACAGAATCTTCTCCCATCAACCTTGGTTTGGCTATATAATTGTATGTAAAATTCTTTTATTATATTCCTTCCACACATTATTACTTTATAACTTTTGAAAACTTTATTTATGCTAGAAAATGTATGAAAAGTATTTAATAAAATGATTATTTAGCCGTGTCCCCATATGGATATTTGAGTTTGAAGTTTTGATGAATGTGACACTTAGTCACATACCCGGGTCCATGTAACTTAGATTGCCACTTATCAAGTGTGATGGGTTAAAAAGAAAAAAGATAACTTCTAAACATTGTTCTTCATCCCTTGACAGTTGAAGTGCTTGAGTTCATTGTTCATTACTTAAACTATTTGAAGATGACTCCCTTTACCTATTGATCCTACCCAATCCCAACATCATCCTTAGTATGTTTATTATATGGACAAATTTTTATGGCCATTTTTTTTAATTTTATCTTTCGAATGTGGATGGTTTCTGATTCGCATGACACGTTCAAGATGGATACTGATATGATGAGCCTTTGTCCAGCCCATTTGGTATCACTTGGTTTATGTGGAAGTGTGTTCCTGAGTTGTTATGGAAATTCTGCTCTTTTCAATTGATAGTTGTGGAAGTTTTTTTTTTTTCCCCTTCTGAGTTTAGTCTTTCCCTTGGATGTAATATAAGTACAGGACCGTTGTCAAACATCATTAGAGATTGGAGTTTTTGTTATGCTATTTTTTCCTGGTATTTAAAGTTCTTGCATAGCGTTCCTAGTTTATGTAGACTCATCTTTGTACATAATTTTAGAATTGAATTTTCTTTTTTATATCATAAAAATATATTTTCTTAATATATATATATATATATATATTAGAAGTGAAAAGAACATAAAAAATCAGGAAAAAAAACAATGTCAATAACTTGATATGATAACTTTCAAATATAAGGTGGTGTTCTTTTGGTCTTAATTTTAGGTGATCAATTTAGATTATGCTGACCTCAACTATATGGTTTTGGCTGGAGAAATATTGTGTAGCCATTTCCACGCGATTTTACTCTATATGAGGTTTGTATCATAGGCTATCACATATATTCTTGATATCTCAAAGTGCCATTTTGGCTTTCACCTTGTTCTTGTACATACCTTGACCTTAGACCATCACTTCATAGTTCATACTGGTCAGTTTTTGGGTTCAATTGTAGATGACCTAGCCAACAATGCTAGTTTATGGTGATTGCCTCAATTTTCTTTTCCTTGTCTTGCCAAATGAAGAGTAGTACTTCTTTTTTAATGTGCTTCCTGTGGCATCATAATACATTTTTTATTTTATGTCATGTTTCTTATTTCCTTTTATTACACTAATTCCGAAATTAAGATGGTTATGAAACTTAGTCTACTCTCTATATACCGACATCCAAAACGAGTTTTGGAAATATATTGTCAATCCTTAAAATCACTCAGGAGGAACACAATTGCTGAGATTAAAGCGTAATAAGTACAAGGCGTGTCTTTTGATAACAGATGAATGCTTAACAATAAAAATAGACTAGGAAAGCAGTAGGAACAGCAGTCTTAGAGCTAATCATAAGTTCGTAAGTCTTGTTTTGTCCCATGTATTGGAATATCAACTTTTTCCAATGAGGGAAGCTTGGGAAAATTCATCCACATATTCACTTTCGGTCTTGGTCTTCAAGTACTCGAGATAATGTTGATAGACATACGAAACAAACCCCCAAATGGACAACAACATGGCAGTTGCTTTCACTCCATTCATCTTGTCATCGAAAAAGATCACTGCTAGAACCGGAACAATTGGCAAACATAAAGTGCTAATTACATTGCAGAATAGGGAAGACACCTCAAAGATCAACCCTATAGCACCAATAGAGAAAACCTGCCAGGTCACAGCTGTCCATACCAAAGTCATCACATAGGATAAGTTCCCCAGTCCAAACTCCTTCATCTCTCTATTCAAACTTTTCCACTCTCCGCTTCCAAAAAGCCCCACCAGAATTTCACAAGTTGCAACTAGAGACGTGAAAATTATCATTTTCAAAACTGCCCTAAAATTTCCATTTTTAATAATCTTCCTGAAGGATACCTGTGTTAAGCATAGTATCAATGCATACCCAGCGCCTGCCCCAACAATACATAGGAATCCAATCGCCTACTTCCCTTCAGAGACTTCAGTTGAATCTGTGGAGTCGGTCTGGAATACGAGGAGGATGGAGGAGATGGTCAGAAGGACCAGCGAGTTGACTATGAAAGGGGTAAACTTCTGTGAATTGAGAAAGAAGGAGAAAAATGCATTGAAGCCCAACTGGCTTGCACAGATGAGAGAAAAAGTAGAAACCGGAAGATATTGGAGGCCTATTGAGAACAACATGGCATCTGCTGCTAGGAATATACCAAGGAATAAATAAACTGATGCAAGGATTAATGCAGAGGGTGATTTTGTATGGTTGTTGTCTGCATTTTGATTTTTGGTTGGTATGATGAAGAGGAAGGGAAGGAGTATTGGGAAGCCTACAGGTTGTACAAGTGTTGCTATCCATTTGCTCTTTCCGCCTTTTTCAAAGTAGAGTCTTCCCAGGAGTGTAGCAACTGACTGGCCGGAGAGGACAAAAATTGCATAGATGGCTATCTTGAGCCACCACTTATATTGACAAGGCCGACGGCATGTTGATTGGGAATTGACATTCGCATTTTGGGTCGAGTCTGCTTCTTTGGCCTCTTGAACTGGTAAAACAACACATCTAGGAAGTTCAACATTGAAAAACTAATGTACCAAGAAAAGTATTAGGAAAAAATGAGGATAAAGTTAGTTCAACACTGGTAAATTTTTACTCTACACCAATAAATTTTTTTTAACCTACTTGTTTATTTTCTGGACATGTTGCCATAAATTCCTTTAAAATTTAGGTATATTGTGGTTTTATATACTCTCTCAGTTTTCAAATGCTTTCCCGACTACATAATTTGAGTCATTCCCATGAATGATTGAAAACCGTTTTTCAGTTTCTGAAATTGCAAAAGGTCATTTGGAACCAGAGCGCAATACTCCAAGGATGACCACTAGCTTTTTGGTGAGGCAGGGCTAGTGACTCGCTTGAAGTCGTAACAAGGTAGCCGTACTGGAAGGTGTGGCTGGATCACCTCCTTTTTAAGGAGAGCTAATGCTTGTTGGATATTTTGGTTTGACACTACTTCACACCCCAAAAGAAGGGGCCTACATCCGAGTGAAACTTGATAGAAGTCTTCTTTCATTTCTCAACAGTGAAGTAAGACCAAGCTCATAAGCTTATTATCCAGTAAAACTATATAGGTAATAGAAACTTGGGATCAATCTAAAAAAGTACAAAAATAAAAGAAGGAAAACCAATAAAATATGCAAAACCCAATAAATTAGAAGACCTCTAAGAGCTCTCCTAAGGAAGTTTTTAATACTTTCCGGAAAAAAAAAAAAAAATTTAATACTGCACAGAAAATTTGAAGATGTTGGACTTGATGTAGTTCTGCTGTTGACAAGTACTAGAGATCATCCATCACTTGGTATTATTTATAATATAAGTTATAAGGAATAGAAGGAACCTTCTGCTACAATCACATGAGCTCGGTTTTTTTACTTTTTAAATCGTTTCTTATTAATGCATGAATGTTGGAAGAAATCTAGTAAGGAAATAGAAAATTCGAATTCTGTTTTCTTTTTCTTTTTTCCCACCCAATTCACTTGAATATTTGAGAAACTGACTTACCTATGATGTGTAGTTGCAGTTCTTGAGCTTCTGCCATTTCAAGGATTTTGAACTCTATTTGCTACACAGCCAATGCTTGAAGAAGGTACCATTAATATGCTACTCTGGCAGGTGGTGAGATATTTTTTACATGATGGTAAAATGTGCCATTAGCATGAGTCAAGTCACTGATTTAAAGCCCTAGTACTGTTGCTTCATTCACCAATGGTTAGAAAAAACAAATACCTGACCAGGTTGCATCACAATCTTTCAGTCTGCATCATCCAAAGTCATTCAATTTTCTTCTCTTTTGGCTCATCAGCATTTCCATGGGCAGGTGAGACATACATATTAATGTCATTATTGCTCCTAACCATTGAATTTTATGTGGGATATGGACATCAAGGAGCCCCTAGCTTATAGGCATGCCAAAATTGGTGGGTCCCACAAGGTCCTCTAGCATCATTTTAGTCATATTGTACACAGTTGATATGAATATGTTATCTTTTCATTTTTCTAAAGAGTTTGTTGTTTGGATGGAAAATGTTTGCAAGCATGCAGACTTTGATGACTAGAATATTTATGAGTTGATAGCAAGGAGGTGGGAGGTGACATGTAATAACTGTTAAGGCATGGTTAGTTTAGGGTGCAGCAACACAATGTGCTCTTGTCATTTTTCATGATCATATAATAGTAAACAGATTAATTTTTTTATTTTTTATTTAGAAAAAAAAAGAAAAAAAGAAAAGAAAAGAAAGGTTTTGTTTCTAATAATACATCTACCAGGTGATTGTTATGAACATTCATGTCAATCATTAGATTGCAACTCTTTTTCTTTTGAATTGTGGAGAAGTTATACATGGAAGAGATTTTCCTATCCTTTTTTAAGTTCAATACCTTTGAGGTTAATTTATCAGTAAATGGAGAGTGTTATCGAAAGCTACCAGGATATCTTGGCATATTTAGGATTTTCACTTTCAGTAGAAAGGGAAAATCATGAAGAGGATAACCCAATTCTGGCTGCGATTCACAGAACAAAAGGGAATGCTGTGATCATTCTTGCAATACTGCATCGAAAATAGGGACTATGACATTCCACATTGCCTTGGGGGAGATTGTTGGCACTTATATGTGTGGATGTCTCTTAATTGTGTAGACGCATTTTGAAAACCATGAGCACGAAGAATGCGTAAAGCAGACAATATCTGTATAGCGAAGCGGAGCGTGACAAATGGTATCAGAGTCAATCCCTGGCTGAAAAGGGGGAGCGTGAACAAGCCCAGTCAAACCAACGAGGATGTGGGTCCCAAGAAGGGGTGATTGTGACGTCCTACATCGCTTGGAGGGAGGTTGGCTGCCGGATAATATCTACATAACTTGCCGGGTTGTGACACTATTCGGATATTGACATTCTTGCTTTGATGAAACTTATTGAGAAGCACTAAGCACATTTTGAGCTTGGTTGCTTAGAAGAGGAGTGTAGAATCTATAGTTTTAAGCAATAGAGTTTGAGTCGTCATCTTTATGCAGTCTTACATTTGTGTTTCATGGAAATGATACCATTAGAAGCATTAAGGTTACATCTAATCACAGACACTGCGACTATGACAATTATTGTTACTTCATGACTTCAGATTTTGTTGACATAAAAGTGGAAAATGCCCTTTTAGAGAACTTCCTCAAAGTAGTGAATTCAACACTTACATCTAGATAAGGTTGTGATGGACAAGCAGTTTCTAAAAATAGGGTATTGGCATGAGGTATGTAAAATAAGACAAATTGTTTATGGTGGTTAATACAAGGAGGTCAAAATGGTTGATCAAATACCCCTTTAAATAGTGTCGGCATGAATGTCCTTTTCTAGACTAGTTCTAGGAGTTTAATGATGTCCTGTACCATTTTGGACAAGAACGATAATATGGACCCTCGGTAGGACACCACCTGACAGGCACCGTGATTAAATTCATTGTTTCTTTTTCTTTTCTTTTTTTTTCTTTTTTTTTTTTTTTCAGAATAAGATTGATGATGAGGTTCTGAGAAGGGAATTCAGATTATTTCGTAAAATTTTTTGTGAAAACAAATTTATCATTGTTTTTCTATCCGGGAAAAATGTTCCTGGAGTTGTAAGAGCCTATTGTCTAAACTTCTCTCCATTCGAAAACCCCAGGCTCGAAACTAATGATGTTAGGCATGACTTCCAAGCAGTAAATTGCATGATATATTTAAATCATGTGAGATGGAGAAATTGGAGGAATCTGAAACCAGGCGGCGACGCATAATCAAAACGTGCATTGTCCTGGTTTCCTCATCTGTGAGTTGCATATCTTCTGTGATTGCAGTGTGCTTGTATCAGTGCCAGTTTCTTCTGATTGGACTATCAATAATTTTATGTTGTTAATCCTTTTTAGGTTGGCTATTGGGGGTATGAATTTATATACAAGCTGGACAAGGTTACATACAACAAGTTCCATCCCTACACATCATGGATACCTATCACGTGAGCATTAAGATTTCTTATTTTAATCTTTGTTTATTATTTTGTTTGATTTCTAACCATCATTTTTATTTTATTTTTTCTGAAAATTTATGCAAGGAGTCTGACAACATTCAGCATTCTGTCCCATAGAAAGTTCTTATTTAGTACTCTCACCTTTTGCTTTACTTTAATTTCAGTGTTTGCATTTGCTTGCGGAATTTCACTCAGCAATTACAGAGTTTCTCATTGACTCTCTTTGCGTAAGATTTCCTTTGACCTGTCCGGTTAAAGCTATATGACCATGAAGCACCTCTAACAAATTTTTTTTTTTCAGAATTATTATTCTTTTTAAAGCTTATTAGGATATTTCAAACAGTACAGACTACTCTGTGCTACTAGGTGGCTCGGCAAGGTCACTTTGGAGACCTATATTTCCCAGTTCCACATCTGGCTGAGGTGTACAAAGTTCATCATTTTTCGCATCTCCTCTTTGACGCATTTATATTATAGTATAGTATAGTAATAAAGTAAGAAGGGTAAGTGAATGAAATGCTCATGTTATATTTAAGCTGTATAATGTTTATTTTTATTTATTTATTAAATTTAGATATTTCTTTTTTAAAACTTTTAGACACACGATATATTCTCTTTGGATGCAAATAACTTCTACACCGAAAGTATTGACATGCTAATATCTGCTTTATTACTAGTTAAGCTCAAGATCATTTATCACATTTTTATTAGTGAAAATATGTGAGGAACAAAGGTTTTATTTCTTTCATCTGATTAGTGGTTAAAACCAAGGTTGATATTTTACTTCTTGGCATGTCTGTGCAGATCAAGTGTACCTAACGGACAGCTTAAGTGACTTCTCTCTTATCCCAGAATATCCTATGCTCAAATTCATGTTCACAACTGCGATTTATATCTTGGTGAGCAACTCTTTTTTATTCAATCTTCGAAATTTAAAGAGCTAAAGGTACTCAAGGACACTAATTTTTTTTTTTTTTGGCATTATGTTACTATCTGTGGCTTGCCTTCGCAGATATCCCATAGGCTCTTTGAACTAACCAACTCACTTAAGGCACCTTTTATACCAAGAGACAACAGGCGGTTGCTATACAATATTCTTGCCGGGACTGCAATTTCAGTTTGTTTGTATTGCATCTCATTCATTCTTGTTCTGATCTCTCACTAACCAGTAAGCCTTCGTTTTCCACTTTCGGATTTTTTGCGTATTGTGTGTATATTGCACACTCACACACACACACACACAGTTCGTGGTCCCTGGTTTTCCTTTTATAAAGACAATTGCCCCATATATGCAGTTTTCTTTCTTCTATCCTGTCAATGGATCAACTGTGGTAGAACAACGGCAAGGAATTAGATTTTGGATGCCAATAATGATGTATGGTGCCTCTGCAGTTTCAGTTGTATATATATATATATATATACACACACGCATATATATCCTGATTCATTTTATATGTTAACGACAGTACTTTATACGACCTATTCTTACAGGCCTGACAAATCAGAGGCTTCTTAAAGATTGTTAAAAAGAGATTTTCCTGTTAGTCATACAAAAGGAATGTAGACAGAGTAAAGTAATAGGAATTGGAAGGTTTTTCTTGAAAATTCTTCATGGAAGCTGGTGTTGCCTACAATAGTGAGGAAACACACTCTCCATTGCTGCACCACAGCTGCAAAATGACGTTCTGTCTGCTTTGGGAAGTCCGGCGGAGGACAAAGATGGCAGCTGGATTAGGATCTTTTTGTAGTACTGTAAGGTGATGCATCATTTCATTTTCTCTTGTTAATATCCTTTCGTTGTTAAGCAATGATGAGAAAATGTAATCATACATTTAGTTGAAAAAGAAAAAAGAAAATGTAGTCATACGTGAGATCAATATGTTGTCTGTAAATTCTGCAAGTTTGCACTTTGTCATGTTTAAACGTTTATAGCAATTGGTAGTTCAATAAATCTTAAGCAATGGTCCCACAGAGTTGAAGAATAAACATTTTTACCTTCATGCCGAGTTTTACTTAAAGAGTGGCATTTATGTATATGCTAAGTTACGCAATTGTTTTGAAATGATGCCACTCCCTCTCCATGCGTGCTCACACTCTAGTTCTCATTCTGTATGACTAAGATTTTGTCATTTTAGCTCTTACATTCATTTTCGTTGCGTGACTTGGTGTATACCGCTACTCTTGTAGTCTTGTGGAAATAGTGAAAAATTAGCTCAGACAGTTACGAATCTGGAGTTCAACAAAATCTAAAAGACCAGATCATATTGAACTCCTATGAATCTAGGCTGGAAATCAAAGTTTTTCATCACTATCATCATCATCCTTGCCTTTATTTTGTATGAATGGGTCAGAATTCTCTTTTTTCATGTTTTCTACAATATATCATGTCTGCTCTTTTGCGGGACCACCTCAAGAAAATTCAATTCAATATAGTAATTATTTACAAACATTTTTAACCTCATGATGTCATATAATACCTTTAAAATCATATGGACTTTATTATCTTTTCAGGAATAAATTGTAGCTAAAGGAAACAGAAAAATAAATTAATTAATTAAAAGGGCATTTCAAGGACACGTGCTAACCATTCATGAGATCAAAGGACCCTAGTCTACAACTTGGAACTGGCAATTGACCATCCTCAAAATATACTAAGTCAACTTAGTTGGATCCAGAATAACCTTACAATGCGTGGAGACCCAGTGAGCTCCAGATTAAATTTGTCAAGTTCAAGATTAGCAAACATAAGCTACTTAGTGTAAAAAGTTAGGTCCATTACTAACCTAACAGGAATGCCAAAGGGGCCCATAAAATGTCAAAGATAGTAACATAATGCAAAATATCTAACATCCAACACACAGTTGAAAATTGTAATGTATAGGCATAACTTTTGCAGGTTTCGATCTGAATCTAGTAAGTGACAACAAAAATCATATGACAACACATCTCGGCTTTCCAATACATGATGACTTTATAAAAATTGAAGAGAAAAATTGATTCAAAAATACATCCGGTCAAAATAATATTATCAGAAGTCAAGAAATAACTATACTAGTCTTCTATCAGATGATGCTGAATAGTGCAACTAAAACAATATCTGCTTTAAAAAAAAAAAAAGTATTGTAGCTCAACATGAGTCAAAGAAAATGCTACAGAGAGTGTGTAAAATACATTTTTCTTTAACTAAGCTCAGAAGTTAGAAATAAGGAATTTTAAAAAGATATACTTGCCTGCATCCATCCTTTCCACTCCTCTGTCTGATACCGATTAAGGTAAAGTATGGATTTTCCAGAAAATGTTGACTTGTCATGATGTTTCTTGAGAGAAGTCAATGCCGAAACTATGACAAGAAGAATGTAGAGGAATAGGAAAATATCGCGATTGTATTTCTGTCAAAAAATAATAATAATAAATAAAATAGATCAGAATCAACACAGAAATCAGGAAGATAACTGCCTTAAAAGGCTGGAGAGTGCTCTGTTATTCTATTCTGTCACAACACTAATCATGGAAATAAGATATCCAATAGATAACCTGGTCCAACTAAGGGATAACTTTTTCAATTGCATACAGACAGATAAGGCAACATATATATATATATATTTGGGCAAACATAACACAGCATATGTTGGCTACATGGAATTATGAATACCCAAACTCTATTGTTCAATTCACATTCCATCCCCAAGCTCGTAAAAGTGCATCTCTTATTGCAAAAGTGTGATTGAAAGCAACATACAATAACTGCTTACAAATATACTACTCCAGCACATTTAACATAATCATACGCATTATTATAGTTAAATTAGAAACTTGCCAAGAACAAATAAAAAATAAATAGATAAGTCAAGAGTAGTGTTTCAGAGCAAAACCATTGCAAAATAAACTCATAAATGTAACTGTGAAACAAAACCCAGAAAAGGAAAGCACCTTAGTAGAGTTTGCAAGTAAATCTGCTCGGTCACATATATAGAAATATACCAGAATCGCCCCAAACTCAGACCTACATAATATTTTATCAGTACATATACGAAGGAATGAAGAGTTGTCAAATATTTATTATCATAGCCAATGCAATAACACAACTCACATTGCTCTCAAAGTTGCCAGATTCTCTAGCAAAAAGGAGTCGTCCATTATTAGAAACCTTGAAATTCAAGAGGACGAGAACGTAAGAAAGACTTCTACGGAAATAATGAATATGAAACTCCACTGAAATACAGCACATCAAACAGTAAACCACCTAATTAAGTTTCCTTTAATTGATGAAGCATAGAGCCTTGTGGATGCTGATCTTGTGAGGCCTCCTTCCAGCATAGCAGCCTGATCATCTTCCCTGATTTTCATATTTTCCAATTCAGCTAGGTTACTGTCTGAATGACTGCTGCCCGGAAAGTAAGAAATTCAGCATCAGAAAGCATCCAGACATCACATTATTTTCTTATAATGCTGTACGAATAAGAAGGTATAATATTCCCAAACTCAAAAGAAAGGAAAT